TGCGTAATGCAGCAAATCAAAGCATTAAAAATGGAAGTATAAAGACCATATTTCTAATCTATTACTTTAGTATTAAACAGAACTCTTTTCTTCACTTTAAATTAGGGGACTGTGAACCCAGTGTGACAAAAGTAAGAACTGATCCAAATACTCGCCAGAAATTACAACTAATTACAAATTCTTGTTGTTAGAAACATGTGGGTAACCTCTCCCCACTATTAGTATTCATCTGCACTTTCAGTGAACTTTTATGATTCAGACCAGGCAGGAGAACTTCATACGCATTTGTAGACTTAGATGTTAAATCCAAAGCCAATGGGAGAGAGGTGATCTCATTTCCTTGAGAATTTTTCCAAGTCACGATTTAGTTTTCCCTTGGTCAGGAGCAATGCAGTACCCTTCTCCACTTCACCCCAGTCTCTTGAAATTCTCCATGAAGGGGTGGATGGGAGCACTGTACTACCTGACACTGTCTCATCTTATGTGATGAGCTGCAACACAGTCTTAAGATCCTAAAGCACTCAGGTACCTACTGTTGGATCCTTCCATTGAGTGAGCGCCTCCAGGTCCAAAGACCTGGGAACTTGGCTGTCCTTGTGGTGAGGTGGACCATGAAGGACATCTATCTCTAGGGGCAGAGTTACTGTACATTTGTCCACATCATGGATCACTTGATCAACAGAGGAAGAAGACAGCACGTAAGGTTGATCCCATGTAATTGGGCAATGTATGAGTTTCTAATGTGGCTCCAAGGGTACCTGAAGCTGTTGACTGGTAGGGGTGATAAAGCCTTTTCTTGTAGCCCCAAAAATCTGGTAAAACGCAAAATTATTTATTGGCATTTATGAATCTGAATCCATGAACTTCTTTGTCCCATAGGTAACTCCAGAAAATCTTGATGGAAGAGGTTGTTCCTTCTTCAGGAGGGAAACGTTTCTGCTCTCAGAAACAACATTGCGACTGGCGCTGCAGAAACTGTCTCAGGATACATACAGTTGAGTTCATTACCATCTGTGGTTTGACTTCCATTCGCTCGTGGGTTCCTAGTGGAGTTTAATTCAGGCTCCCTAAATCAAGATAATATCCCAGGTCTAGCACAACCTGGACTCAGGCCAGGAGGGGGAACTCAATGTGCTCAGATGGTACTGCTGGATGATCTCCTGCCCCCCTCCTAAACCTCTATATGCTGGTGGTTAGCTGCAAGAGAGGTGGTGATGTGACAAAATGCATTGAATCCTTGAAGGAATGCCCCCGGGTTGCCGTGGTGGCATGTTGCAGGTCTACCACAGTAACCTTGAGATGGCAAAATGGCCCATAGGGCCTAGTTTCTTTTCAGTACCTTTCATCACTTTTAGTCACTAAGTGAGCTGGTTAGACAGTGTGGTCTCAAGCACCAGAATGATGCAAGTGATGCTCAGCTGTGTTATCCCTCATCACCCAAGGCCATGTCTTGCTTCTAAGAGGGCCTACAGGTTGAAATGAATAACTTCTCTGCAGGGATAACACATGTCTGAACATTTGTATCACTCACTTGACCTGGAGAATGAAAGGTTAGCCATTTCCCAAGGGGGTGGATTTAACCATCCTTGAATATAAGGAACAGTGAAATGGATTTTTAAGGCGCATATGTTGTTGTTGGAGGTGTATAACGTATGCTGTCCATTGAAATGTCATCTGTTAGCTGGACTACTCTGCTTCTAACTCTGTTTCTTTAATAGGTAAAGTGTTTTGGACTGTATTTGTTTCTGGCAGAGTGTGAAATCCTTTCAGGCACTTTTCAACTTATATATTTATTACACATAAGGGAAAATACTGTCTGGGAAAATGAATAAATTTTGAAACTGAATCACAGCTAACTATATCTCAAACGTATATAGCCTGATTTAGACAAGTCGCCTTTAAAATAACATTTTCTAGTACCTTTTTTGTAAAAATATCTCCAAGTAATTCTTAAAATAAGACTGACTGTAAACTGTTTACTTGTTCCTAGTTACTCTATTTAATGAATATAATCTATAGAAAAATTTGACTTGTGTAAGTTGAGGAAACTGTAATAGGCTTCAGCAATTTGTAAACAGGGAAGCAACATCAGTGCATTAATTAGCTTTTCTCTCTCCTATATAAAATTAAATTCTGTTGTACATATGTTAGCTACACAGATCTATACCTGTGTGTTTTGTATGTGTGTGTATACATGCAGGTACCTATGCATACATATATGCAGCAAACAAACTAGTCCATTTGTTTTGTGTCTTGATGCCTACAGTAAACTATGGCATTATGTAGTTTAGTAATAAGACTGCAGATAATTGTGCAGAAAACTTCTTATTGTTAATGATTATTTCAGGGATAACATGATGGGAAAATTAAAATGCCACATATGACTGTGACACTCTATCTCTTCTCCCCTGAGGCACAGGGAGGTGGGAATGGTAGTTGCAGCAAGCTCATCACACGTCTCTGTTGCTCCTTCCTCCTCAGAGAGGACTTCTCACACTCTTCCCCTGCTCCAGTATGGGGTCCTTCCCATGGGAGACAGCCGTCCATTAATTTCTCCAATGTAAATCCTTCCCACGGGCTACAGTTGTTCACAAACTGGTCCAGCACAAGACCTTTCCATGGGGTGCAGCCTTTCAGGAACAGACTTCTCCAGCGTGGTTCCCCCACAGGGTCACTAGTGTTGACAGCAAACCTGCTCCACCATGGGCTCCTCTCCACAGGTCCACAGGTCCTGCCAGGAGCCTGGTTCAGTGAGGTCACAGTCTCCTTCAGGCACATCCACCTGCTCCAGCGTGGGGTCCTTCCCGGGCTGCAGGTGGGGATCTGCTCCACCACAGACCTCCCTGGGCTGCAGTGGCACAGCCTGCCTCACCACGGTTTTCACCAGGGGCTGCAGGGGAATCTGTGCTCCAGTGTCTGGAGCACCTCCTCCACTTCCTTCTGCACTGACCTTGATGTCTGCAGAGTTGTTCCTCTCACATATTCTCACTTGTCTCTCCTGGCTGCTGTTGTGCAACAGGTTTTTTTCTCTTCTTAAGTATGTTAACGCAGAGTCACTACCACTGTCGCTGATGGGCTCAGCTTTGGCCAGCAGTGGGTCCATCTTGGAGCTGGCTGCATTGGCTCTGTCAGACATGGGGGCAGCTTCTGGCATCTTCTTACAGAAGCCACCCCTGCTGCCCCCCTGATACCAAAACCTTACCACGCAAACCCAATACACTATCAAAGGCATGCAAGGCTCCATATTCACCATGCAGGACCCTGGTGCATTTCCAGATCCAGTTCTGAAGAACACATTCCAATACAGTCTTTACAAAGACAGGAGAACACCTACAGCTTCCAGATGCTGCCATGAATGTCAAAGCTCTGTATTTATAGCGATGCTGTTTGGTGTAGTACTGCACTGCATCTTTACTATCCTGTCTTTCAGATATGTAAATTGCGATAAGCAGAATAGGTTAAAATAAGGAGGTATGGCAGGAGAGGTAAAGTCAAGCAGTGTATTTTCCTCACTGCATTAAAGAAGAAATAAGATCCTTACTCCTGTTGCTAACCTGAGTAAGCAGCATTCCCTGTACCCCACATCTGGTGTAGTAAATGCTCTTCCCTCTCTTTTCAACATTTCTGGAGGTATCACTATGGATACTGTATTTGAGGATTACAGGTCATACAAGTGTAAGTAGTGTTATCCTGTGCAGTCCTTCCTTCCAATAAATGAAATGCAATAAAATGAGTCAACATTTGCCAGTTCGGAGAAGATATCAAATTATTTAGGAAGACTGCTGAAGAGCAGATTGGTGATGACAAAATATTACCATGGAAACCCTGGCAGAAGTATCTGCATGCACAAAGTAATCCCACTGGCTGTGCCCTTAGTCGGCAGGAACAGCACCTCTGAGCTGGGAATCTAGCACAATTGAACTGAAGTGGAAAAGCAGGAGTATGCTAAAGTAGGAGTAAACATCTGCTTTAAAACTGGTTTATGGCTGTCATCAACTTTAGTTTGCTGAGGAGGTGCAAAAAATTCACAGTAGTTAATAAATGGCAATACTTAGGTTGCATGCTGCCAATACTTGTTAAACTTATGTCACTACAGTGGCATTTAATCCTAGACCTAGGATTCATCCTATGATTTCCACACACAGGTTGCTCACTATTCAAAGTTCAGGTTTTAGCAAACCACCATTATCTCCTGCTCTAGGAATTTGGGAAATTTCAGGTATGTCTCATGATATTGTGTGGTGTTGATTCTCTGAAACAATGTGGGTGGCAACAGGACAGGTGAAGTGTGTAGATTCGGATGTACAGAGCAGTGACTGTTGGACATGTTTATATATGTTATGGGTTTCTTTGTTACCTAACTCTGTTCAAGAATGGCATTTGTGTGGTCTTCTAGGTTGGGTTTTGTGATCTTGCTCCATGGGCACATAAAATTCAAAAAGGCTGCCAAGATCATTGCGTTAGGGACAGAGGAGCAGGACTGTGAGGCCGTAATTTCGCCTCATTTTGAAGGCGGTATATTTGTACAGTATTTGTTACTCCATCCTGACAAGGGCATCGCAGACCTAAAGGAGGTTCACTGAAGGAGAATGAAAGTAGTCACAGACAGAAGAAATCTGTTATATACAGAAAATGTTGGTGGTCGTTTGCTTCAGGAAGCAGGTAAGACAGTCACAGTAAAATGTTAATAATTATTCTTTAGTTGTAGCATAAGTTTCCTCTGAAATCGGAAGGCAGCAAGTAAAAAGCTAGCAAACATTTTATTTGTCCGTTAGGCGGAATTAACGCGCCTGGCAGTTAAACTGCATAATTCGCCCACAAACTGATTTGACCCAGCCCAAAGCTCCCGCCGCCACCGCCCGCTTCCCGCCTCCCGCCTCCCGCCTCCCGCCACACCGCCGCCCCCTCACAGCGCCCCTCACAGCGCCCCCCGCGGCGGCGGCGGCGCGGCACCCGCTCGGTGATCGACTGCTCGGGGCCCTTCTTGGCCCCGCCCTCTGGAGGGCTGGTCTCCGCTCGGACCTCGATTGAGGAGGCCTCTCCCTCAGCAGGAGCGCCCGTCCCGGCCATCCGGCCGGTGCCGCCGGGGGGCTGGCCCGCTGCCGTTAGCGACCGGCCCGCTGCCGTTAGCGACCGGCCTGCTGCCGTTAGCGACCCGCCCGCGGCGGGGCGGAGGCGCCGCCGCTCCAGATGCTGCGGTGGTTGATCGGCGGCGGCCGGGAGCCGCAGAGCCTGGCGGAGGTAAGGGGGCCGAGCGGCGGGAGGCGGGGTTAGGGCCGTTGGGGACGGGGAGCGCCGGTGGAGTGCCGTGGGGAGCTTTGGGTCCGGGGGGGAGCGCCGTGAGGACGGGGGTGCTGGACGGGGGCCTTACCGTCGGGGCGGGTCTGCTGTCCCGGGGCAGCGCGGCTGGGCTCCGCGCGGGGCGCTGCGGGCAGGGCGCCCTCGGGGCTAGTTAGCAGCCTGTGAGATTTTCTGGCTGCTTGGAAGGGCTACAAGCGTCGATAGAGGGGGGAAAAAGGCAAAAGCAAACAGCAACACCCCCCCAGTCTGAGCTTGCCCAGGACCTGAAGGGCCTGGGGAGCCGTCCCTGTCAGGAGTGTCCCGGCTTCCTCCCTCCTGTTCAGCGCGTCCTCCTCAAGTGGGGGATATGTTCTGCAGCTTGCAAACATACATAGTCCTGCCCTCGGAGCTCCCAGGTCGATAGTGTAAATTATCGGTAGTAACTTATTATTTATGTGGCCCACTTTTAGTTTGTTGTAGTCTTCTAGCATTTCTTCTTAGTTTCTTATCCGTAAAATAAAGTAGGCCTGTGTAGTGCACCAAACACTTGTCATCCTTCCTGCTGCCTTACTCGGAAAGAGTTTTACCACATTTGAGAGAGAGATTACTGGGGCTTGTCCCTAAGACTCTGCTGAAGTTCTCAGCCTGGATTTAACAAGAGTAAACACTATTATTGGGCTCCTTACGCCTAGTGCTTTTGTAATCTAGACAAATATGAGGAAGTAATTCCGCAGCTGTACATGAGCAAGTCATGACAGTATCATGATTGCTTTCAAATGCCAGTAGTTACTTTGGTGGGAATTGAAGTCTACCAGTTTGGAATGATGATGTATGGGAATGCCTATGACCTTTGTCATCACTCAAAATACTGGTTGTATTGCAGTCATATTTAGCAGGTTTGCATGCAGTTGTTTTTAAAAGAAAGATGGTAATATGCAACAGCTCTATAAGACATGCTAGGAAACAACATTAGCGTGTGTCCTTCTGCAAAGTCTAAACTCTGGCTATGGTATAGTTATACTGTGATTTTAAAAAAAGCATGAGTGTGTGTCAAGATGTGGTCCAGTTCTTCCATACTTCCATGCATAGATTGTCTAAACCCGATCCATGGGACTTCTGTTCCCATTGCCCATTGCTACCACTGGTTTGCTGAATGGTGGTGATGGTTTTGCTTCTCAGTGAAAGAACTGGATAACAAATGTTGATAAGGGTTAGTCGCTAAACTATTTATGTGGGTTTTTTGTTTGTTTGTTTGTTTGTTTTGGCTTCCCCCCCCCCCCCCATTATGTAACAATGTTTCATCTAAAGGTCATCTTCATAACCGTTAATTCTCTCTGTACAACTCTTAAGGAAGCCGATAGCAGTGTGTGGGCTATGGACTTAGGGTGTTTGTTTTGTGTGCTATGGCTTCAGTCAGTCATGAAAAAGCCACACCTATTAAGAGTGACATTGCACTGGGTGAATAGAGAAAGCATCTGGCAAAACTGTCATAAATTTTTGAAATGTAAATTTCTCCCTCCTTACCTATTTCTCTTTTTACTATGGAACTGAAGATCATGTAGACTTACCCTCCTGAATCTTTTCAGTTGATGGCCATGGTTTATGTATTAAGCAGGGTGGCTCTTGTAATGGGAGCAGTCTACCTGCAGTAGCATAATGGTCCATATAAGCTAATTTATCATGCTCCGTGATACATACATAAGTATGTCTGTGTACCCTTGTATCCATATTTTTGAATCGCTTTGGAAAATCTCACTTTTAAATGTTTCAGACTGGGGGGGTTATAGGAAGTTCTGAAACTGAGATGAATGTTGCATTTTTTTACTGGTTATCGTAATGATACTTACAGGTCCTGCATAAAAACATGCAAGTTGGGAATATGTTCTGTTAGCATCAGCATCTAGCTTTCTCTCCTAAAAATTTGGTGTAGCTACAAGAGAGTTCAATTAATAGTTTATGTCAGAAATAGATTTCTTCAGAGAAAGAAGACACACATAACCCAACACTTCAGTCAATATTAATGATGATCAGAAGAGAGCATAGCTTTTTGTATGACAGTACTGGGGGAAAAACTGTTATTTTGTTGTTATCTGTATCACTTCATCAGCACTGTACCTTTCAATATTCACAGACAATGTCAGAATTAAGAAAAAATAAGACTGGGCACATTGTTCAAAAGGAGTATCACTGTCCTATACTGAATAGGAAGAGCAACAGAATATAGAATTATGATGTTAATGTTACAAATTCGGACTTTTTCAAAGTGGTGTTGCAGTTGATTTCTGAATGTGTGTTTCTATTGGTAAATAAAAATGGAAGTCTCCTGATTACAGTATTGCTGATGTCATCCAGTGATGCTGAGATTTGCTTAGGATTTTTAGAACTCTCTCTCTTTTTTTTTTTTTTTTTTTTAAGGAGTGTTTTGATTAGCTTTTGACAGTTGAACTCCCAAGTTTCCATATTTGTCCAACTTATCTTTATAACCATGCAGACTCTACTTGCATTATTTTAAATGGGAACTGCTATTCTTACATAATTGCATAAAATGAGGAACAGTTGCTTCATGAAATGCATCAGATAGCACAAAACCAAGATAAAATCACATGAACTAGCATTTTGACAATCTCTTCATTTTAAAAATAAACACACATTTCTTTCCCTATTTATTAACTTTGTCATTCTTAACTTCTAAAGAATAGTATCATAGTACCTATATGGAAGTGATAGAAAATAATTTATTATTCCTGCCAGAAAATATTGAAGCTTCTGAGGATATGTTTGTCTTTCACATAGGATTACCTGTCATGTATACTGTGTGTTGTACAGTGTTCAGTAATTACTGTTTTACAGTGTAGGTTCTGTTGAAGTCCTCAGTGAAGAGACAGTCCTGGAAGTAAGATGATGTTGACTGTTGTGTAAAATAAATCTAGAAGGAGGAGAGTGCTGTCACTGATTTACTACTGAGATATGTAGATTTTTTTTTTTTTTTTCAAATAATGTCTAACAGCAAGTTGTTCCAGAATGTAGAAGACCTATTAGCAGAACTATCATGCCTTGAAAATGAAGTCCTATGCAATATTTTATTGACTCTGCCTGGTGATCAGCTTGCTCTGAGTGATTGATTGTTCTTTTAGTTAATAGTCTAGTTGGGGGTAATTGCAGATGCTGTTCTATAAAATGATTAATTGTTCTCTATGTTTTTTTAAGTGGTTTGCTTTAGTATTTTGTGAATAGAGTCCCAATGGATTATTTATATATTTTGTAATAGAATAGCATTTATTGTTATTTATTTTAAATATGTCATCTTTATAGAGAATTTTAAAATTGAACAATAGATGAAAGATATAAGAGGTTCACAGACCTCTCGGAAGAGGTAATTTAATGAAAAACTGAATGTATGGGGAATTGAGTCATGAAGCTGGCTTCATATGACAGCTTGTGCCTAAACTGCGTGTTCATCTTGGTGTATCAGTGATTAAAGCAGTATGAAATGTTTTTGTTAAACAGAAAATGCTGTATTGTAGTTTAATACATGCTATAGAAAGATATTATTTACTTTAAAGAATAAGAAATGATCTTCTGTAATGATTTTCATTAAGGTTAAATGATATTTCAGAAAATTTAACTTCAAATATAACTATGCATTCACACATGAGTCTGTGTGTAGATTGTTAGACATTACAAAGACACGATGAAAATAATACTGTCAGTACAAAATAAATTTTCATTCAATTTTTTATTAATTTTAGAAATCATCTGTACAGACAATTGGTGAAGAACAAATACAGAATCCCTACACAGAGCTCCTTGTGTTGAAAGGTCATCAAGATATAGTACGATTTCTAGTGCAAATAGATGACTGCAGGTATGAAATTTCATTTCAAATTACTTCACTGCCTCCTTGGTAATACATCAGAGAATATTTATGAAAATCTAGTAATGTTTTAAATCCTCTCTTTTTATTTTTAGTGGGGGAGGGCAGAAAAAGCCTGTAGTTAAAAAAGACAAGGGATGAACACTCCCTTTTCTTGGTATGTTACTACATCTTTTGGCTTCTCACTTAAGTTACACTTTCATGAGAATATAATGGTGATGGAATTGTGTTTCTTGATACAAATTAATTTGTTTGAAAGAAATGCCTTTAGCTAATTCAGTTTTTTTTCAGGCTGTTCTTGGTTTGAATGTTCCCTTCTGTACATGCGCACACTGTTTTTCACAGAACAATATGCAGTAGTGTCTGCTTCTCTTCTGAGTGGATGTATGTGTGTTTTGTTTTTGAATTGAGGACAGCTGTTGTTTCACCTTTTGGTTCTACAGAAGAATGTAATAGACTCCTGGAGATAACCTGTAGTAGTCACACATGACATTCTCAACAATATTGAATGTTGCTGTTCCTTTTTTTCTAAACTTTTGTTATTCTTTCTTCTGAAACTCTGGTGCTTAATTCAATTGAGCCTCAGTTAATGCAACTTTTTTCTGACCTTCTCAAATTTTGAATTTTTCACCACTTTCTTTAGAATGACTACTTAGTAAAATTCAACATATGACTAATCTTTGCGTTACATATCTCCTCCAGTTTGATCCTGTTCAACTTGCTGTATTTTTGTCTGAAACCTGGCAGTTCCTTTGTTTCTCTCTTCCAATTTTTAGCTTTGTGGACTTTTTTTTGGTATATTCCCTGACAAACTTTATCTATTCTGTTCTTAGTTCCTTGGAGCTAAGTCCAACTTTATTGTGAACTCTGAGGACAGAGTTATCTAAAAACTGGAAAACTTGTTATAAAGCAGAGAAGAAGTCACTACATTTACCATTGTTACTTTGGAAGTGTGACTGAGAGAATGAATTATGATAGTTTTGCATTATGACCTGACTTCTATCCTAGCTTCATCTAAATTAGCCTTGCACATTCTCTAATTTAACTTAATCCTTCAAGAGAGGAATTATTTATCTGCTATAACAGTAAGGTTGTGAAACCTTTTGTCGATAATAAGTGTAGTGACTCATGGCTGATGTGGAGAATTAAATAGAAAACTTTTAGAACTAAGAAGATAAGTAATAGGCAAGAGTTTCTCTGTTAAGAAGCTCTAGTAATTTAGATCTTGTATGGATTAGGCACAGAAGGGGACTTCTAATATATTTATCAATTCACTACACAAGTTAACATGGGTAAGAGTTTAGTATATCCTTGCAGTGTACAGCAGGTGTTTTACAAAGAAGAGTTCTCTCCTTCCCCTTGCATGCTAATTGGGCAGGTGGTCTCTTCCAAGTTTGGAGTGCCTGGAGAATCTTATTTTCTAATAATTTTGTAAATATACATCTATATAAAAATTTCACAGAAGACTCCATGGAGAATTTTTAGCTTGTTAGTTTTCATTCTCAATGTCCTAAGTATATATTCTGATATACACACACACACACACACACACATATATATATCTATATCTATATCTATCTATATATATATATATCAGACAGGTTCTATGTATTACGATAAAATTAGTATTTCTACATTATAATAATCCACCAGAAGGTTCATATAAAAACAGAAGAATCTGGTTGGGTTTTTTTCAGTCCTTTTTTTTCCCAGACAAGTTATGAAAATACTTGTGCTTGTATGAAAATGTACAAGTATAGAAATGTACTTCCCTCAAAGTGCATTTTTCCCAAAACACATACTCAATAATTATAATTGATCTTTAATCTTAGATTGCACGCACTGTCTGATGCAAATAAATCTTTTACCATTTGGGACTTCATTGTATGATAGCAGATAAATCACTGAAGCTAAATGAACGATAATCAGTGTAAAACTAAAGCCTGTATGGCCACATTGAAGATAGGCTACTCCTTATCCATATGCTATTTTGTAAGTTATGTAGCTGGTTAATATCTTGGGAGTTTGAGGAGTTTAATAGAGTTGCTTCACTGGACAGTAATTCTGAGGTTTTATTTATCATGAATATGGTAGTTTCTGGATTGTTAAACAGCTGATAATATTTTTCACTTGATTCTTTTCAGTAAATTTAGTATTGTTACTCAGCTTCTGAAATGTTTTTATTTATTTTCTGCATCTATTCCACTGTGTGCTTTTTGTCAACTATTGTAAGCCGAGTTTCACGCTTCAGGTCTTTAGATAATATCATCTTATTGAGAATTTTGCAGAAGGATTTTCTTGTTTTCTCAGTGGCTCAGCTAAAACCAGTGAGTGGAAAATTTTCTCAGATTGGTTTTTGAAGATACTAAATAAATCCTGTATAAATGTAACAGAAGGCTTTGTTTTTTTCTTTTCTCTTGTACTTTTTGAACATGAAGTAAGGGTCATATTGATTGGAAGATCACTAAAGAAGGCTAAACCTCAGCAGGAGTCTTCCAAAAAGTGGACTAAGATAAAACTGCATGTAATATTGTAGCATTTGACACATTAAGCTAAACAGTTCATAACACATTTTAATAATAGCTTTTTTTGTTGCTCATTTGACCATTCCTTGCTCCTTCAGGACACATACAATGTTATAGATGATGGTGATCATAACTGGGAAAGAACCACACGACCCTTGAATTGCCATCTCGGTGAACAGAATGTAACTGTAGGATAACTGACTCTACAGTAAACCTTTATATTTAAACAGAAATCCTAGTGAGAAGATGAGGAAGAAAATACACAAAACAGCAGTCTATTGAACTTCTTTGTTGATTAATTACACTCATGCCTTTTTTCAACCACCAGTTTTTTTCCCAGTATTTTGTTCAAGTGGCACACAGCTCCAATATTACTCAAGAAAAGAACTGGAATTTAAAAGGTTATTGCTGAGTTGAGAAAATGTTACCATTTTAAGTTCCAGATGTTGTGATATAACAAGGTATAATAGACCTAAAAGATAATGAAAGATAAAACATTAATGTTATCAGAAGTGTGCATGCAAGATTTTTTTTGCTCTGATCTTTTTAAAGGAGCGGCTTGATTGGTTATAAAATAGAGATATGAAGAAAGTACAGCTTGCATTTTTTTTATATACTATAATAGAATAAAACAGGAGGATATGTGGAAGAAAGAGGGGAAAAAAATCTCTGTCGCTTTATGCCTGAAAACATTCTGTTAGCAAGTTTCACAAACATTGTAATTGCAGAGTCTAAAAGAAAGGACATGTATATGGTTAATGAAACCATCCACAGTTGCTAACAGAAAAAAATTCAGAAATGATGTAACCTCTGTTCTTCATGACTTTCTTGTACATAGTTCTTACATAGTTGTTTACTGCCTTTCTGTACATTGTGCTATAATGATGTTTTCACAGTTTTTTTTTTTTTGTTTGTTTGTTTTTTGTTTTTTTTTTTTTTTTTCATTTCAGGTTTGCATCTGCAGGAGATGATGGAATCATATTTCTATGGAATGCTCAGGTTAGCTCTTTTTTGGAGGGGGGGTAGCTTGTATGCTCTGGAGAGGGTCGAAGTTGGAGAGAGGAGTTAGAATGTTTAGTAGCGAAAAAGCAGAATAAATAGAAATTGCTGCAGAGCTACTGTTTGAAAATGTAAAATTGGAGGGAGTCTGTAAAATCTTGGTTTACAAAAGTGAGCTAGGCGAGTAAAAGTGTGTACCTTGAGAGAACAGGAAGTTTTAGAAGTTAGAATGTTATGGTAAGACATAGTGATTTTAGAGACATTTGAGATGAAATGATGATGTGAAAAGAAGAAGTGTGTATAAACTTGTGGCTTTAATTCTTTTAAAATGTTTGCTGTAAACACTGAAGTGTTGACTAGTAACTCAGCAAATACATAGCAAGGTCCCAGTCCTACCAGGATTTATATATACCCTTAAGTACAATTCAGTGGTTCTATTACCAATATCTATTTGTAGTATAACTGATTAGACTAAGTGGTGAGCTAACACAAGTCTATATTGGAAAGACACCAAAGCCAGTGGAAGTTAAACATGTCCTGCAGTGCAGAAGCAAGGCGTTAATTGCTTGCTGTGATAAAAATCTTCTTATAACTATCAAAAACCTTACTAAGACTTGAGTTTTATTGTGGAATTAGTGCTCTCCGAGTGTGATACCCACTGTTCTGCTCTTCTGCTCTGTGTCTCTGTATCACTGACAAAATTATAGGGAAGGGATGAGCATTAGACCTGTGTTAAGGAGGTCTGATATACCAGTGAGATTGTTCAATAAGAGACCTAAAAGGGAGATAGACTTTGCTGTCTAAACTGTATCGAATATTAAAATCAAGGAAGAAAGAAATCTCAGACTCTAACCTTTCTTTAGAAACCTGAAAAATTTGTGTGACATGGTGGCATAACTTTAAAATATGGAAGGGAGAACTTGAAACTTTTCCTCTCTTTTGAGCAGTTTCAGTTAGCACTTTGCTGTTGTGGCAGGCCTTTTATAATTCTTTGTTTTGGAAAAGGAAATAGTTTCTGAATTTTCAAGACCATGTATGTGCATAGATATACTCAGTGTCTGACCAGTTTGTGAGTGTAAAACTCATGTAGATATCCAGCTTAGGAACTGAGTTCCATTTCCTACTTGTGTAGGATTTTTGAAATGTTTTTATTAAAGCAAATATTTTGTAGCTTTAATTTAAAAACTTAACCCACAAGTGTAAAGAAGTATACAGTTACAACTACCCTGTATTTTAACTGCATGTTTAAAATTCAAGTACGCTTCTGCATGTTTGTTTGTAGGGTTTTGCCATCATAACTAAACAGAGCAGAAGTAGCTGCAGTTATCTGAATCACCAGCTTGGAGCTATAGATAGTGTACACACTAAATAAAGCTGCCAGGAAATTGCCAGTACTGTGTTTACCATAAATATAGGTCAAGTTTTTCCAATCATTAAAATAAAAAAATTACTTTTTTAAGAGATGGTTTGTCAACAAATCTGAATTACTGTAATATCAGTTAAAAAGGGTGAATGGCCAATATTTGTATTAAAATAAAATTAGTTTAATGTGGAACTTAGGTCTTAAGGGCTTCTAGAGGTTTTTTTGCTCTTAGAGTAATTTTTGTTATGTACTACTCCTTTACACTTAATATGTTATTTAATTCTGGGTAAGATCTTGAACAGTATTGAAGGTAGTAAGAAGTAAATCCATAAATTACTTTAGAAAGGGAGATTTTTAGACTTGAAAATTTGTGCTTTCAGAAGTAATTTGTTACCTATGTCGTATGCTACAGTAGGCATTTTTCAGATTTTACTCTTGGTTTTCCATGCTTTTATTTTTCAGACTGGAGAAAAACTTTCTGAACTTCATGGACACACACACAAAATTACAGCTATAGCACCATTTTCTTCATCAGATGCTTCTGAAGAACGAAAACATTTGATTTTATCAGCATCAGCTGATAGAACAGTTATTGTATCCTTAGATCTGGAGAGGAATCAAATTTCTATGGCCTTTTTGCTGGTTTTTGCTTTTAAAGGTAGCATTGAGACAGGCTGCAGGTTGGTTGAATTTTTTGGCTGATAATATCCAGTAGGTATAATTGGATTATGCTAGGATTTTACTAGTTGTTGCTCATAAGTAGATGCTATCTGTGCCTTAAAAATACATTCATAACAGACCTTTATTATGATGTCATTTTGGCCAAATATTGAAAAGACAATCAGGGTTTAGAAGACCAAGTCTCTGCATACCTAATTCACAATCTGTCATTTAGTTACAAACACAGAAGTTACATTTATAATATATAAAAACCTTTCAATTTCCTTAATGAATAAAGTCAGGTTTGGGACTGCACTAGTGGCAGACAGGTTCAGAAAGTGTCCTGTTTCCATTCAACTGTAAAGGTAAGCTGAGGAAACCCTAGGTGTGTCTGTTTTGTTGTATGCAAGAATATGTTATGTATGCCTCATGGGCTATATGAGCAGGTGTGTCAAAGTGAACAGCAGTGTTTGGTTTAAGAACAGTGTCTGAGAAGTGGGCACAATTCTTAATTTGTTTTTGGAACTCTTAATCACTCAACTTTCTTTTTGAAAGGATGTAGAATAAAGGTCGTTTTATGGCTTGGCTTGTTACTGTGCTTGAAAAGGCAGCCTACAGTTAAACTAGTTCTTGAATGCTAATAGTAGAAAAGAATCACTGAAAAATCAGTTTTTGCATTGTTGATGGAAAAATGTAACACGTATGCAATTAAATCTGTATTTCTCAGGAAAGTTAATACTGTGTTTCATGGTACCTACAGCTTTATCTAGCTAAAGCTCATGATCATTTCACTAAGAAATTCCCTGTAGAACTTTTGCAGGGGACATATATCTGATTTTTGTTCTGCAGTGTTTGACAGTTCTTCAAAGACTGGATGTATGGTTGTCTGGAGGGAGTGATCTATGTGTTTGGAACCAAAAATTAGATCTCTTGTGTAAGACCAGTCATCTTACTGATGCAGGTAAAAATGTAAATGACTCATTATAGCTGTTAAAGTGCAAGTAGAATGGATCTGTATAATGATGCAAAACCAACTTGGCAAATTCTCTTTAATTCTAATGATAACATTATGTATTAGAGCCACTCTATTTTTTTAAATGTCAGACTTAATCGTTTCAGAATAAGCCTGCTTTTAATCTCCTATGCTGTGTGAATTTTAAACTATGTTAAATCTCAGTAACTGTACATTAGCTTGGACTCACAGCTAGACCTTGGATTCTGATTTATACATGTTTGCTGTAGTGTGGACCAGATCCTTTGGCTGTTTTTGTATGTGAAAGATCGGGAGTTGTATTATTCTTAAAGCTTTCTAGCAGTAAAGCAGTAAAGATTTCTTTTTATTATTGAGTCAGTATTTTTGATATAGAAAATGCAGGTTTTGAGAGAAATACAGTAAATGTAATTAGATCTTGATGTCAATCATACTTTTATATTAAGTTTATATGTTATCTGTCCATGCATAGAAATGGTTGCATATTATTGCCATACTTTACAAAGATACCTATGAAGCTGTGAATCAAATTCAAAGTTGGAACCAGTATTTTCCTTCTTTTTGTCATAGAATAGAGTAGTAGACAAAACCTTCTGAATCTTTGAGGGTTCTTCTTTTGGTTCAATATGAAGTATCATGCCAAATACCAGTTGGAAGTGGTGTGCTGTAGTGCTTAGCGTGAAGTGTTATTGAAACTTTTGTACAAGGGGTCAATGGGATGTGCAGCATGGGCCCTCTCTTTCCTCCTAATCTCTTGCATCCTTTGTGAGGTAAGAGACAAATTGTCTATTCCTTGGGGAATTTTCTTTTAATGGTGTGGCAACACAGCCTGGGGGAATTCTGTGCAGGATGAAGCAAAGTAACAGTAAGCTGGACATTTTATCTTGTACCCTGTTCTTCTTCAGCTGGCTCTGCACGATGTTTTAGTACCATGCATACTGTGGTAGTATCAGTATCTAATAACTTAGGTACTGCATATGTTTAGAGTCTCGATAACTACCACAGTGTCTTTAATGTTGTTCAGTGGTAGGACGTAAACATTTTAACTCTATTTAAAATGAGAAAATTACTGATTCTCAGCTTCACCTCAAGTTTGACATTCAGAATTCTGCTGAATTCAGGACCAGAACTCCTGATTCTGCCTTCATCTGACCTAATCAGTTCTCTTCCAATGCTGTTTAACTTTCACTTCAGGCAATATGCTTTTGTTTTGGTAATAACTTGTAAGTGGAAGGGAGATTATGAAGAAATTAATTAATAAGGAGTTAAGTTTGCTGTGTTTTCTTGTGGCCAATATAATTTTCTCCCTTGTCTCCTGTATGTTTTCAAAGGTATCAGTGCTTTGGTTGAATTGCCTAAAAATTGTGTTGCGGCAGCTGTTGGCAAAGAGCTAAGTGAGTATGTTGCATTTCTGTTAATTGCTCACGTTCCCCTATGACAGCTGCTTATCAGAGATATGTGTAAAGAGCATGCTTCTGGAATTGTGTAGGAAAAGTAAATGGTGTTAGTGTGTTCAGCAACATTTTTCCTTTTTCTCTTATTTGACACAGAGGCAGACAATACTAATCTCATTCAGGAATTCTGTTGAGGTCTGCATGACAGAACTTTTCTGCATTCTTTGTTATTGTTATTACTGTTACTGCCACCTGTCCAGATCCAATTATGGCGATCTGCATTTGTCCTTCTGGAGAAGGCCTGGAACTCATTATCTGAGCTGTCAGATACTAGGCTTCTCTAGAGCCTCTGTATCCCAGGATCAGGAGTAAGAGATACTGCTGATCACATTATACCATCCAAAGCTATAATGAAACGATGTGGTGATTTCTGTTGCTCGCTTGAAGACAGGGTTTTCTATGTACGCAAACTGTAAATCATCATCTAGCTGTCTCTTTTAAAAAAGAAAGTTTTGTAAAATTACTGAAATCTCAAGATATGGAAAAAAATACATGAGAAAAAGTAGAGCACTGAATCAGCAAACAACAGACTTTGTTCAATATGATTAAACACTTTGCTGGAAAATAGCAATCTGATATTCTGATTAAAAAATCAGAAGTGAATTAAAATGGTCTTGTGTTTAGACATTGGTATACACTGTAAGCTTCCATCTGAACTTCCTGCAGTTCTTTTGTAGTGCTCTTGAGTTATCATAAAAGAAATTCCAAGGCTGGTTAAAATAAAGTCTTAATTCTTGATTATCTTCATTGCCTTACTAGAGAATATTGCATCCTTTTGAATAATAGTTTTCAGTCAGATGAGCCCTTAAGAAAGATCACAGAATCATAGAATGGTCTGTGTTGGTAGGAACTTTGAAAATCATCTAGTTCCAACCCCCCTGCCATGGGCAGGATCACCTTCCACCAGATCATGTTGCTCAAAGCCCCGTCCAACCTGGCCTTGAACACTTCCAGGGAGAGGGCAGCCATAGCCTGTCCAGGCATTCTGTTCCAGTGCTTCACCACCCTCACAGTAAAGAATTTCTTCCTCCTATCTAATCTAAACCTACCCTCTGTCAGTATAAACCTGTTACCCCTCATCCTATTACTACACTCCATGAGAGAGTCCCTCCCCATCTTTCTCGTAGGAAGTACTGGAAGGCTGCCATAAGGTCTCCCCAGAGCCTTCTCTTCTTCAGACTGAAGAACCCCAACTCTCTCAGCATGTTCTCACAGGAGAAGAGCTCCAGCCCCCCCTCACCATTTTTGTGGCTTCCTCTGGACCTGCTCTAGCAGATCCATATCCTTCCTATGTTGGTGCCCCCAGATCTGGACACAGCACTGCAGGTGGTGTCTCATGAGAGGGGATTAGAGCAGGAGAGTCCCCTCCCTTTACCTGCTGGCCACACTTCTCTTGATGCAGCCCGGGAGACTGTTGGCTTTCTAAGCTGCGAGTGCACGTTGCTGGCTCATAGTCAGCTTTCCATCCAGCAGTACCTCCAGGTTCTTCTCCACAAGGCTGCTCTCAATCAATTCATTGCCCAACCTGTATTTGTGCTTGGTGTTGCTGCAACCCATGTGCAGGACCTTGCACTTGGCCTTGTTGAACTTCCTGAAGCTCTCATGGGCCCACCTCTGCAGCCTGTCCAGGTCACTCTGGATGGCATCCCTTCCCTTGGATGTGTTGACCGCACCACACAGCTCGGTGTCATCCACAATCTTGCTGAGGGTGCACTCAATCCCACGGTCCATGTCGCCAACAAAGATGTTAAACAGCGCTGGTCCCAACACCAACCCCTGAGGAACGCCACTTGTCACCACTCTCCACTTGGACATCGAGCCGTTGACCACAAACAACTCTTTGAGTGCGACCATCCAGCCAATTCCTTACTGACCGAGTGATTCATCTCTCAAACCCATGTCTCTCCAGTTTAGAGACAAGGATGTCATTCAGGACAGTGTCAAAAGCTTTGCACAAGTCCGGGTAGATAATGTCAGTCACTCTCCTCTTTTCCGCCAACGCTGTAATCTTGTCATAGAAGGCCACAAAATTTGTCAGGTGTGATTTGGCCTTAGTGAGGCCATGTTGGCTGATTTTTCACTTTTGTTTACTTGTCCATAAAGATGCCTAATGCTTTTCGCTTCTGTTTTCTGCAACTTCTGATGTTGACTGATTCTCTGAAATTCAGAGTTACTAGGCTGAAGTGTTTTATCCTATAGTTCCTGTAGTAAGCAAGCCTTAATAATAATGCTGAAATAATTCATTCCAATATTTTGTGGTGTTATGAATGGTCATAAGTGGCTTTGCACATCTTGTACTGTCTTACTTGTAATATGTTTTAGTTTGTGTCTTTCTGAAAATTATGTGTTTTGTTTAAGAATAGCTACATTTTATTCTGAATTATATAGCTCATTTAGACAATTTCTCTTGCTATCTTTGAAGTAATTTTCAGGTTGATTGCTACTAATGATGGGTCTGAAGGTTGGAATGTTCTTGAAGTAAAACGCCTTGTTGACCATCAGGATAACATTTTATCATTAGTCAGCGTCAATGGTAAGAGTTGTTTTATAATGTTGTTAGTGACCAGTGGGATATTTCAACTACGAAGTTTTTACTGGGACAAAACTTTTAATTGGGGTGAAACTTCATAACTAGTACGTGTACCTTTCTGTGGAGCTGCAAAGGTAGTTAAATGTGAAAATATAATGGCTGCATTTATGGATTAATAGTTAGATGAAGCCAGGCAGGTTATTAAGTAGAAAAAGCACAAAAGGGGCAATGTCATGGGTGGGAATGGATCTCTGGGTCTTCTTCCTGTTGGTAAAATTTAAAATGCCAGGTTTTTTTTTTTTTTTTTTGTTCCTTCTGATTCTTAAAATGGAATATACGATGCCACGTCCTTTGCAGTTATAGTCCCAAGGTAACTGAAATTTCTGGGTGTGCAAATGTGGGCCTGCATATAGATCCATTATTTAGAGGCTCTGGAAGATGATACGGTCTCCTGCTCATTAGGGCCGTGCTGAGCTATTACTTGAAATTGTGTCTGCTGTACTACAGATGTCTTTGTTCTTCCCTGTCTCTTTTTTTATGGAGCACCCCCAGAGCCCATGACAATTTATTCCTGGTGTAGACTGTGTATTTGTCCTTGGGCTTATTTGTGTCAGCCTAGTTGGCACAAAGGGACTGTGATACAGAGGTAACAAGAAACTGGAAGGGAGAAAACTTGGATTCTATGGTAGTTATTTCTGCGGTTTCCTATTGCCATTATTTTTCCCTTTTTTATTATGAAGGGGAAGCAGTGTTGGGCTTAAAAAGACAATATGCTACCTACATTAAGTATTGTTGAAGCAGTTCCTTTCCATGTATGATTAATGAATTCATGGGCAGCTACTTCAATCTTGCCATTAACTCATCCATTTAATTTGTGATCAGTATTTCTGTTTATAGCAAAGACACACTTTTCTATTTCTGAGGGGTACTGACACACCTACTTTTTCAAGGAAAATAAGGGGTGTGTATGTAGGAAACAAATGAACTTCAAATACTTGTACAGACTTCAGATGACGTTCCTTGCCTTTGCTATAGTGTATTGTACACTGTGGCTGGTGGATGTTCTCCTTCCTAGTTTTAATTTTATGAGAGCGCTCATCTCCTTTTGCTTATATGAGCTATGCTATGTAATCAAATGAGTATTTATTCAAAGGGAGAGGTCTTTGTCCAGTCAATTATGTACTGCATATGTACTGAACACTACATAGCTTCACTTGAAAATGGGCTCTCTTAGCTTTCTGGAGTTGTGACTTCGTGTGAAATGATTTTTTTTTTTTTTTTTTTTTTTAATATATATCATGTGATTGTGATTTCTGTGTGTGTTTTTTTTCTTCCCTCTAGACTTGACTTTTGTGACAGGTTCTCACGTGGGTGAGTTAATAGTTTGGGATGCACTTGACTGGACAAAGCAGTCATCTGAGTGCAACTTCTGGGACTCATCTGCCTATCCAGATGTACAGCCAGAAATAAAGTTATCCCAAAGCCCACATGAAACTTCAGTTCAACACTTAACATCTGATGAAGAGGTAAAAAGCATTAAGCAGGGTCAACTACTTTAAGTGAGCTAGCATGACCTTACCACGGAAGGCCAAGTGTTTTCTGTTTTCAGTTTGCTTGTTTTAATATGAGAGGCTTCTTTAAAATGGGCACAGCTATTTTTACACAGTCAACAGTTTTTATATAAAATTTTGGTCATTGAGCTAACTGAAAGTTATAATATGTTGATGGTATGGGAACTAACATAATGGACTGTCACAACAGCATTTCCTTTTGACTGACAAAGATTTATTAGTTGTCTACAGTACCGCTAGAGAAAAGTAAACAGGAGGTGTGTGTTTTGATGGCATACGTATTTCATATTCCATGGTTCTGGAAATGCAGTTTCCACGATAATGCACCTCTTGAACAATTGTAGCTAAGAGTACTATGAAGTGAATTAAAGAATAGGCATATGTTAGTGCTTAGTAGTAAATAAATATTGCTGCTTCTGTTCAGATGGACTGTACTCAATTGTAAAGAGCACAAATAAGGGTCCAAACTCAAGTCTGCTGTAGTCATGCTTTGGAGATAATAGAAGGGTTCTTGGTCAGAATACTCAGGCAAAACCCAGTTATTGTTCAGGAAACACTAAAAATGCTCACGTTATTCTTTAGTTTTGTGAAGTATTACCAACTGTTAGTGGCAAAAGAAAAGATGCTTCATAGTTGGGGTACAGTGGGATTCTGTTTTGGGGCCTGTAGGACCATTACTGCAGAGTAAGAAAAGGATTCTTGAAGTAGATTCAGAGATATGAGCTATGGCAAAATAAAAGCTGTGGAGAAACCTGAATGTAGTTTGAGGGCCAAGTAGTCATCCAGTGCATTTGTCTGTAAGATGAGCATTCCTAAAACACTGGAGAGAGAAACATTGCAGGGAAAGAGGTGTAGTTGTCTCTAAAGGTAGGATTTCCAGTGGTTTTGTTGTGGGTGCTTAGTTCTAGAAGGAGCAAAGACCAATCTGGTTCAGGAGAAGTTCTGTAATTTGGCTTCAAAACATTTTGATTCCCTGCTTGAAAGCTACACAAGATGTGTTTTAAAGAGAGGGGAAAGGCATTCCATGGACATGGAAAGTTCAGAAGTAGTTAAAACATTGAATGTGAAATCTGAGGCTTCTGTCAACTTTCTTTCATTCATGGAACAGAACTAAACAAATTGCTGCAGAATTTTATTTATTGTGAGACTTTTGAATGGTAGGAAGAAGAGGTTCTAGTGTTACCTCCTGAAAGAGAAGGTGCTTTTAGGGCGGAGGTGTCTGGATTATAAAGTTCCTACTTAGAAAGTGGTGAAGAAATGTATTCCTATAATGAATTGCTTTGTTACCTGTTATCTAAGAGCAGCCCACTGTTCCTCAAGTGAAAAAAAAAAAGTTGTTATTTTTTTGTCTGTTAGGAACTTTGTCAGCAGGCTTGGTAGTTAATTAGAGAAGATGCACTTGTCTGGTTTGACACTGAGCTTGTAGGCAAAGCATCACTTATAAACAAATGAGATGGTAATGGTTTGACAATACTAGGAAATGGTGCTAAGGAGTACATCTGCTGTCCTGATAGGTTTGTGTGTGTTTTTTAACTTGCCTGTTAAGATTGTGTACAGTTTATGCTTCATCATCTGTTACTTTCTTGGGGATTGAGATGATCAGGGTTTTGCTGGGGCTTGTGTGAAGAAAAAAAAAAAAAAAACACAAAAAAAACCCAACAAACCAAACCAACCAACCAAAAAAATCCCAGAAAAAAATAAAGAAAAAACAAAACAAAAAAGTGATCTGTGAAAAACATCATTGCAAAGCTATAAGAGCCTGTCTCAAGGAGGAAGACTATAAGAGAGAAAAGGCTGGGATACAGGAGTGGAAGAGTGAGGTGGAAGGCCAATGAATTGAGCCTCACACAAGACTAGGAAAATAATAGAAATGGGCTCAGTGTTTTTTCCGTGATTTGGTAGAGTGCTGTCAGAAACCTGAACTTAGTTTCAGAGCTGTTGGAGCTCCCACCACAGATGTGCATAAGAAGAAAACCAAACCAAAACCCAACAAAACCTGGACAAAGAATTTTGGACAGTGTCAAAACACCATTGAATATGCATATAGCAAATCTTAGTCAAAGACACTGGTTTACCAGTTTTACAAAATGTTCACAAGTTGTAGTGTGGACTGCTTATGAGACACTAAAGTCTGGGCTGTGTAGATGGAAGCAGGCCATTCAGGGAAAAGATCCAGCATATCATCACCTAAATAAGGTATGTTCAAAAACCCAAATATGTACTGAATAGAAGCATTTTGCACTCCTCTAGTACCAGATACTTATCATGTGTATGTAGACACGATTATACATTTGTTCTCTCTGAAATCATTACAAGTCATGAGAGCGTACAGGTCCAATGATCTGTAAACTGTTGCGGCTTTTTAGGGACAGAATGGTTATGAGACAGAAACCCTGCACTTTCCTGAAGAAGAGCACTGAATGCAAAATTATTCCAGATCTTTGCAGTACTGTGTAATAACTTTCTGTGAGACTTCCTTTTCTTTACCCAGTAGAGTCTAAATGCTTGAGCAAGAGTTCTTTGTGAAGTTTCAGTTAAATTAAAAAAAAAAATGGCAAAAGTGCAGAAGAGCTTCCTATATTCTCAGTCTGTCTTGGTAAAACAAGAGTTTGTCAAAACAGAGTGTTATTTTAGTGTAAGAATAAATGATCTTTTAATAAATAATTAATAATTACTAATATATATTAATAAAATATCAATAAATTAATAGATGTTAAATTGCAGAAGTGTGTTGATTTGCTTGATTTCTGCTTAGACTGTAAAGTACACGATGAAATACAGAAATGAAACAACTGCTTAGAGTATAGGAGAATATCTCTTATTTCCTCCAGAAAAATCCATATTTTTTCTATAACTTGCTGATTCCACATGTTTGGGATAATGCAGTAACACAAGGACAGAAACAAGCTAGATAATGTGGGCTTGATGACATCATAGTACTGCTGGAAATCCATTACACACAGGGTGATCTTTCAGTATCTGTTTCTGTAAGTTGTTCCATTGAATTTTCTTTCCAGTGTGTGTTTGCTGCTGTTGGGAAAGGCATATACGTATATAATCTTCAAATGAAGCGTGTGATTGCCTGCCAGAGAACTGCTCATGACTCCTCTGTACTGCACATTGAGAAGCTTCCAAACAGGTACGAGTTATGGTACATTTTGTTAATGTAGTAAAGAAATGCAGGACTTGGAAGGGTGGCTAGAGACAGTCTGCAAAGCTACATCTAATTCCTGGGGCAGGAACTTGATCTTTAGTTTGATCTGCTTTTACTAGATAGAGCTTGTTTATCTGTTTGGGTTTTTTTAAATGCATCATTGTAATTCAGTGTGTAAATACTGTAATCTAATATTCTTGATGTACAAGCTCAGAGAAAAATATCTTGGCTATTTTGAAAATCAGTCTTGATAAAGCACTTTTGTCTACATTGTGAAAATACAGCTTAATGGCATTTTACTTCTATAAAACAAAGGCCTATGGCATATTCAGTAAATACTTTTCACTAAATATTTTGTAACAGTTGAAATATTTTAACGAAAAGTAATAACTTCCAGCCTTTGTTCATTAATACTGAATTTCTATTTGGAGCTTATTTTGATGGTCCAGTTGGACAATTTGCTACCTATATGTAATCTAATACTTGTGTTGTTAGATCCCTTTATACTCTTGTTCAATGGAGCAAATGCCTGTCACAAGATAAAAATTAGGGCCTTGGTCTTGCAGATGCATGCAGTGTTCTAAACAGGTAACAAAAAGGACTATCTATCATTTTGTTATTTTTCCATAAGAAAAAGTATGGGTTTGCTTAATGAAGGTAAGCTTATGGAAGCCAGTTAGTGGAGCTGTGTTTGCAGAGTTTAGACTTGTTATTTTTTGTTTTACAGAGTGGTATGCTTTTAAAATGGGATTGAAAAATGTGTATTTCTTTCCACCTATTTTGCAAGTCCATTATAGTTTGTTCTGCTGCAAATATACCTTGTTTTGTATAAAACATCTGGATGTCCTGCTACATTCGAGAATTCTAGCAAACTTGTATAGAATCTGAGGCACTTGCTGTCTTTCTTATAGAAACATCACAAGTGACTTGTGCAGATAAGTATCCATGATGGTGTTGCTTATCAATTGTTTTTACAGGCAGCTGATCTCCTGTTCAGAAGATGGCAGTGTGCGCATTTGGGAGCTCCGAGAAAAGCAGCAGTTGCCAGCTGAACCGGTTTCAACAGGTTAACTAGTAGTGGGGGAGGTGAAAAGAAGGTTTAAAAAGGATAATGGGAAAACCAGTATTCACCATTTAGGAATAGAGAGGTTTACAGGCTCTGTAAGAAGAGGTGATGTCTTGTGTTCAACAGACTGATAACAAGGGTGGGAGGGAACCTAAGGAAGACATGGCTGTACAAGCCCTCCAGGATCTGCCGTGGGAAGTTAAGATGTCCAGCTGAAGTCGTTCTGTACCATAAATCTTATTTAGAGTTTACAGTTGTATCAGCTGGTTTAACAAAAATTATGACCTCTCCTGACAAACCTTGAGCCACTTCATATACTGAATAGTGCTAGATCCTCTACCATGCAGTAGTAAATAGTTGCAGGACCTTGTGAAGAAAGCTAGAGGAGCTTGCACATGAGCAGTTAGCATAAAAAAAAAAAATTTTTTTTCCACGTCTCCTTGAACTTGGAATGGCAGTGGGACTCAATTGGAGGCTGTATCCAACCTCACTTACAAACTACCTCTGGGCATCACAGTCCTTAGGGCTAGTTGCTGGTGTTTTAGGAAGCATTTTCCCCAAGTACATACATTGCCTGTGTAGTATTTCCTGCTCTTTGACCAGGCCAGCAGCTTCACTGGGTGCTGGTAGTTGTGGTCTTGGACGGGTGCTCTCGACAATATAATCAGTATTATGGACTGGGAACAGTAATGAGCTGTTACTCTCTCTCGTAGGAATTTTTTTTATTTGAGCTGTGAATAATTTTCTTTATGTATCTTGTCTACCTGGCTGTTCACCTGTTGCTGGTAACTTGCAAATGTATTTGCTGCCTAGGTTGGTTTAGAAACACTTCTTTGGAAATGTTCTGTCTTTGTATAACTGGTGACAGCTGATCTACACAGTTCTGTTTATTGTGACAAGTGATACATTGGAAATTTATAACTTCTATGATTGGAGTGACATTTGAAAGAAACTATATGCAGTAGTGAGATAGGTGGACTGCTGTTGATTTGCTATATTTTTATACCAAGGAATCCCCTGAGTAGTTGTTCATCTCTCAAGTTACCTCCTGTGCACCAGGGCCACGGTCTAGCACATTTCTTGTTTTGTGTGCTGATGGCACTGAAGGAAGTGTCAGGAAGAAAGTCTGAACTGCACTGTGTACACAACCCAACTTTCTTACTTGTGTCAGTATGATTACACAGTTTTTCTGGAGGCTGTGACACAGATGTGTATTTTCTTCCTATCTAAGTGGAACAGGTGGAGTAATATTTTTACACTCCAGTTTGGCTGATAGTTTTAAATCTCAAGGAGAAAGCCAGTGGGCAGTATAAAGCCAGGCAATTCAGCTTCAGAAACTTGCTTATTACCTGCATGCCAGTACTCTAATGCCTTAGTGTAGGACACAGGGAAGAGACTGGCATCTCATTTCTTTCCTCACTGCACAAGTAATAGTTTAGGAGGACAAAGCAAAAGTAAACATTACTGTCCTGCATCTACTTTTTGCTGTTCAGTTAGTTCATTTAGGCAGTCCTTGGATTTCTGGCTATATCTGTATTGTCTGGTCCAGGTGAGTAATTCAACATGCTAGCTGAATAATGTCTAGTAAAGGACAAAAGACAAAGTAGCTATGTTTCCTTCACCTTCAAGGTGAATAATCCAGATGTAGAAATGCTGCGCAGTGCAATGCTTCTGTCATTTTGCCATGCAGACTGTTCTGCTTTTAGATTTTAAGTGACTCCTATAGTTCTCTCTTTAGCTAGAGAAAATAAATTGTATCTGTGATTTTTGCTGAAATAAAAGTGGTTTTGTTTTGTGTTTTTTTTTGTTGTTTTTTTTTTTTTTTTGTTTTTTTTTTTTTGTTTGTTTTTTGTTTTTTTCCCCAGGGTTTTTCAACATGTGGGGATTTGGAAGGGCAAACAAACAGGCTAACCAAGCTGCTAAGAAGGTGCAGGATAATACACCTATGTATTTCTTGGAGCTGGTTGGTGATTTGATTGGTCATTCATCAGCTGTGCAGGTAGGTCAGCTTTAGTAAGAACAAGAAAAAATCAATTTCACTTGCTAATGTAATTTTGGCACTGTTTATTAAACAGCTGTAACTTTTGGCTGTCTGGCTCTGGAGGCTAGGAACACATTGATTGTGTGGTATATTTAGTGCAGTGTGAAACAATAATACATACTGACTTAAAGTTCTAATGATAACTCACTGATGCCTGAGGATTGTGTATGCAGATATATACATACATGCTATAGATAATCTGGTGGGGTATTATGTTTCCTTACAGACTGCAAACAATACAGCAGGGAACTATGTGTTTGCTCCAGATTTCATCTCAAGTTTACAATCTAAACAAGAGCTCCCATAAAACAAAACACATTCAGGAATTGCTTAGCCCTCTGTGCTGTGAGCCTTAAGGAGGTCTTTTAACTTTAGATCAGGTACCATTCTGTGCTTCTGTCTGCCTAATAGAGCATGCTTTTATTTTACATAGCATTTTCCTTGCATACATTTTGATGTTTGACAAACCTGTTGGAGTAACAAATCACTTTCACACAGTGGACTTTTATGCATATTTTTGACAGAAGCAAGGGGAAGAGCAGGTGGAGTGGAGCAGTGTGGTTCTGGAGTAGTTTTGCTCACAAGTATTCATGAGACTGACTGGATTTCAGAACTGCTACTGCCAAAAGCTGGAAACTTCACCAATAGCTGAGGTGAACCTTTCTGCTACAGGGATTTCTGCAAGTCTTTCTGCACCTCTCTACCATATTTCTTTCTGAAAAACTGTTGAAAGAGGCCCTATTATCAGTATGGAAGGTTGCTATCTAAGAAAGAGGACATAGTGTGTAATTCAGCAAGAGGCACAGCAGAGAAGGTGAGAGGCACATACTAGGTCTTTTCTAGGATGCTGCAGAGTCGAGGAGTAACTGAGATGATGGTGGATGTGGTTTCCTGCAATGTTCTACATATAGAAAATTCTATTAAACTCTGGGCAGACTGGAGCAGTTGGGGTTAGAAATGTTGAGTAGCGATGAAATGTGATGATCAAAGATGTAGTCTTGGCCAGAGTATTTCTACTGGAACTGCATAGCTAGTAGGTGGCTGTTCCCAGAGCAGGTTGGCTGTAGCACAGTCCTTGGCCAGAATGCTTTTCCTGGGCAGATCCCTTCAACAAGCTGAAGTCAGGACACTGCAAGCATGCTATAGTGGCATCACGTGATCTGATTCCATTGGCTGTTGTGTTGAACTGCAGTTAGTGGCTGATTTTAGATAGACTTGTGGAGGTCTCTGAAGTCAGGGATGACTACATGACTTGTCAGCTCCTTTGCTCCTGCAAGATCCCTCCGCTGCTGCTGTACTTTTCTCCTGTGTCACAGTTTTTGCTGGTTTGGCTTCCTCCTGTGTCACAGTTTTTGCTGGTATGACCACGCACATGCAGATGTCTGACACAGTTGTTCACTCTGATCCTTCCATGCCTGTCAAGTAGCCTGTGGTGTCATGTGGGAAGGAGACAGTGTACCCAAGTGAACAGAACAGTGGCTTCTATTCCTAAGGAACCAGGAGATCAGAGTTCACACAAGTCACTCACTCTTCTACTGCTGACTTGGAACAAGTTTCCTCAGTATTCATTACCTTAGCTTCCCTATCTGTAAAGCCTTACCTCTTTTTCTAAACTGAGATAGTTCAGTATGAAATGCTGCTTAAGAGTTGTTTTCATGTAAGGATTTTATGATGTTTCAAACATATAGGAAGTATACATTGTAATTTTGCATACCTGTGTTCAAGCAGAACCATTTCAGACAAAGGGATTTGTTTAGTCCAGTGGTACACTGCACACTTAAGGAAGCTGACAATCTCATGTAAGCATCATGGCAATGGCATTTGTTTCATTGCAGATGTTCCTGTACTTTGGTGAACTGGGTCTGGCTACATGCTCTGCTGACCACCTGATTATTTTGTGGAAGGATGGTGAACGAGAATCGAGACTCCGCAGTTTAACCCTGTTTCAAAAATTGGCGCAAAATGGTGATTTGCAGCTCAGATTTTAAATTGCTTGATTACCTGCTACATATGTATAAACTGGATGCGTGTTAAATGTGAATGTAAAGAAAAGTCTGAGCTGCTGGGAATGTGACTACGAATAAGGTTTACACTTAATGTCATGTATTGGAATTTTAGTTAGTTACTACTGCTCTTCTCAAAGGAGAATTTTGCATGTTGAAACTTACTCATCTTTGTCAAGAGAAATGGCGTTCTCTTGAAGGACTGAAGATAATGATGACTCATTAAATAGTTTCTAATGTTATTTCTAATATTTAAAAATATCATGGGTGGATGTAGTAGAATTTCTGACAGAGAATGGCCACGATATTTTGTTTCAAGGTTTGGACAATCCAGGCCTGAGATCAGACTGCTAACAACAGCTGTGTTATGAGAATGACCTTGAAGGGCTGTGTTGTGAGGAACTGTATCTGTTAATGAGGAATTTTCCCAGCTATGTATCTGGCTAAGCTAAGCACAAGTTTGCAGCAAACCGCAAGATGCTTGCCTATCACAGTTTCTCTTTGGGCGTGTGATGAGTTGCTTACGACCAATAATCAAGAGGTATGGGGCACGTGAACAGCAGGTGCTTGCTTTGCAAAGGATATAACCAAGCGATTCGGGCAATAAAGGGGGATGACATGTAGCCGCATCGGGGTGATTGTCGTTACTCAGGCCACTCTCTGTATTGGGACCCTCTTCAGGTGGATGTCAAAATTATGATTTGTGAAAATCCTTAGATGGATCATGACTAAAGCAGTTGGGGACATTCCATAGTATTATGTACAGAAAGGAGGCACAGGAAAAAATGAGGTTTCCTGCTTTATGTAATTTATTTCTTGAAGCTAAACTTTAGTCACTGATGGCTCAGACTTATGTATCTACAAAGAACCCCAAAAGAAACAGTTCTCAAATAGAATTTTTGCATTTGAAGTTACTATCCTGCACTAAGGGTAAGAGCAAGGAAGAAAAGTAGGCAATATCAGTTTGTCAGGTTTAATTTTTGGCAAAGTAATATATATAGATACTCCTCGTTTGCAGTAGTTGCAGTTTTACTGTGGGTTAACCTACAGTAATGGCGTTTATACAACACCATTACCATGACTAGCATAGTGTGGTTGGTTTAGCTTAGTTTTTCCATAGTGCATTCATCAAATTAATTTGTGTCTAATAAAAAGCACTGGCTTTACCATGGATTTTCAGGATGTAAAATACTTTCTTAAGCAGTAGCAATTTGATACTAGCACAACACTTCTTCCAGATGAATACTAAATTCTCAGCACAAGTTTGAATTCAGAGAAATCTGCATCAGGTTTGCAAGGATAAATGGTATTTTAGAGTTTAAAAATAAAATGCCTTGAAGTTCACAAGGCCTTTTTCAAGTCTGAGATAGCAGCATTAATGTGCAAGCTAAACAGGAGTAGGAAAAAAAATCCCAAACTAAAACAAAACCCCCAAACCAAAGCAGCAAAAACACAAAAGGAAAAGAAAAGGGAAAAAAAAAAAAAGGTGCAGTTAAACCCAGAACTGATACACAGAAGGTGGAAGGAAGGATGATATAGTGAGTGGTAAGTTACCATTTGAACAGAGAGCTAGGGAAGAGGGGAGTTTGGGAATTTGGTGATTGTAAAGCCACCTAAAAGAGGGTGCTGCTGTCTTCAGGTCTACTCAGAAGATCCAGCACTTAGTAGGGCTCATGCAGCTTTTCAGTGCCATCTCTTCCCTTTGAAGCCATGACAACTGTTTTTAGTACAGAAGACTACAGGGCTGTAATTCCAGACTTGAGATCCAGCAGCTGCAGTAAGTGCAATTAAAGTGCTAAGCTGATCCTGACAACAGCAGAATCAAAAGGAGAAAGCTCCAGCTTCCTAGAAGAAACCAAGGAGCCTTTTAGACTTGCTTTCCCCAGCCTCTGTGAGCACTTGTCTTCCTACTACCACCCAGAAGCCAAGCTTTCCCTCTTAAGTCTCACCATAATCTTCTCTGGAAGGCAGAGCAGAGGGGCAGTAAAATTTTGAGCTGTATTTTCCCCCCCTCTTTAGTCAACTTGTATGACTAAGCTTATTCGAATGTAGAGATCAAAATGACATATTTCAAAACTACAGAGCAGATGGAGAATTTGTTAAATTACCCTCTCCTTTCAATTCAGGAAGGTTAAGTCAGTGTTAAATATTGAGCTGCATGTTACTTGCTCAGGGTAGCTATTCTATAGACCAGCATAGGAAAGGTGTTTGGATTACAGCTGATGATACCATACCTTTGGGTATATGGTCTTAACTGCATGTTAAACCTTTCGGCCTGTCAGTCTGTATTGTTTCAGCTTGTCTTCATGAGCAAGTGTTGCATTTTTGGCTACCCCAGTACAAGCTTGGAAGATCAGTTTCTGGGTCTTTTCCTTGTTTCAACTGAGAAATAATTGTTATACAAGGTGTGTGTCTACACATTGTTACTAAAACTTTACAGTGAAAGCTTATAAAACTTTTTCTTGGAGAGGCTACTGCTATCATCAGTTATAACTAGAGAGATGGAACATCATCTTTTTATTATCTCTTTTTCCTATACCATGAGAACAACTATTTCATTTTTATGTGACTGCTTTTAAGTGAATACCTGGTAGAGAAACAGATTTATTTAACTGAACAGTTCTAGTCACAAAACTCACTGTGCATTTTACAGGGATGTTATTCAGCCTTAAATAGTCCTACATGCATGTATAAATATTTATATCTATGAAAAGTGCCGTTGTTCTCAGCTGCACACCATTGGTAATAGATCTCCCAGGGGTCTCTTCCTTGGGAAGATGGTTGTTAAAAAATGGTTGAGTTAAAAGTATTAAATAGAGTTCTTTGTTGTACAAGTGAACTTTGAGCATAACAGTGAACACAGTAAAGCTATACTAGCCCCCTCCTGTTAAATAAGAGTTTGTCACTTGCTGTTGGGAAGGGCAGTGAGCAGAATTAGGATGACCAGATGAGAAATTTTACTTCCACCTTGTGTCCTTTTAAATTGCTTTTTCCACTTAACCATAATGCCGAATTCCATCTGTTCACATCATGAAAATAAATATCCTTATCAGACCTACCCTTAGTACTTGTACAACTCTGAGGTGGCTGTTTTACTGTCAATATATGTGCAATGACAATAGCATGAAACAAGCAGCCGTTGGTCAACTGTACAGGTTAGAGTCTAGGAGATCTGACAGAACTGGCAGATGATAATTAAGAGCAAAAGAAATCAGCACAGATTAATGAGGACTATCTCCACACAGATTACTTTTTTGCTTAATCTCTGACTGTGGGAAGAAACACAGGATCCGGCAACAAATACACTGATTCCACATTACTGCCTGAACTTGTGAACCAGAACTGAGGCTGAAGTTTATTTCACCTTTCCACCATTCACATCTTCTTCCTTCTGACAGAAGTGAGACAAAAATAATGACATGTTTTACATGGATGTGGTCTTACAGTGGTGCTGTATTTAACAAATTAAGATGACAAAGCTTTGAATCTTGTGAAATTATTTTTTCTAATGCAAGCTGCAATGAGCATTCAGTCATTAGAATAGTTAAGGTACAACCACCAAGAGCACTAGTTCTAAATAAAGGAATGGTAAAAGCAAACAGTTCACAGTATAAAAAACTGAGCTTCAACTTATCTGAATAAAAATCCATTGAAGAATGTTGCAATAGATAATAAGAAAGAATGAATAAACATAGTTCACCAGAAACATCATTCTTCAAATATACACAATGCAGCATTTTAATACACAACAACCTGCCTTAGCTATGACAAAAGTAAGGTTCTATTACAATTCTAACAAAAATATAGCTTATATACATTTCTCTGCACATACATTTTATGAATGTTTCCTTTTGTTTCAGAACCTGGTACAAAACGTACAAAAAGGGTTGGCACATTATGTAAGCTACCTGCAGTAAACAACAATCATCATTGTCACTTTTCTTCCACAGCAATCTAAACTCTGTTTACCAGGTTCAATTGTTGATACAGCATAGGGGAGGTAAAGAGTAGGCCGCAAGACCTTTCCTTTTAAAGAGTAGTGGGCTGCTGCTTCAACTGTAGCCACAGCTTTGACACTCTTGCCTGGAGCCTGGTATGCACAGTGTTAAAAATCAGCAGTTCTGTTAGTATTTATTAACTGAATAGTCTGAGAATAGTCTAAAATTTTAACTCATGTTCATGTTCTGCATGTGATTAAAATGAAATGTACAAAAATATGCATTTGTGCTTTGGAAGCTTTAGCATAAATTTTGTATCTTAAAACTAATGAAAAACTATGTTTGATTTTTAACTTATTTACATCTTTTGAAGTACTTTTTACATCACAAAACAAACCAGCATTTTAATAGGAGGGAAAAAGTAGTACAAATTAATTATAATGCTGTTATAAATTATAACCTGGAATTTCTTTTTAAAAAGCGACAGATTCATCTTAGAAGTAAGTAGCACAATATTTGGACTTATCATAAAATTTAAATCAGTTCAATAAAATTGATGACCGTGTGTACAAACACTTTATAAAAAAGGTTGTTGATCAAGTGCCACAATGTTTTTTGTGTAAAATTGGATGAAACATTGCATGGTGGCATCTCTAAGATGGCACAGAAACATGCGGGTGGCACCAATTATACAGAACATGCTTATTTTTCCTCCATTATATAACCAATTTTAAGGGGCTTTGACTCCTACTAAGATTTTATGTGGAAAGAAAGGAGAGTGGGTGGTGCTCTGAGAGATTGTCTGAAACAAGAAGGTTGTTTTAAATGGTGCAGTTTGTTTTTTACTGTATCCAATTTACTGAGCTTTACTTGTTCTACTGAGCATGTTCTCTTTAGAATTATGATTCAGAGAGCTGAAGAACATCAGTAGAATTGGAGCAAATTTATGCTAGATAAGTGGGAAGTTTTTATGCTGATTTGTCAACCTATTCTTACTCTACTGGTGACTAGATTACCCTTCTGTCTGAGAAAGTTGTGTGAAGTGTTAGTGAATAGAGTTGTATCAATTACGAGATCTGACAAATGCATATTCAGTATTAGAAATTAGTTTCAGAAGTACATTTTCTGACACAAGATGTTATTTCCAAAGAGCACTTATTCATCTGTGGATTATGTAGCCTTTTTGAAAACATTCTTCTGTAAGATTCAGAGAAGCTTGAAAGTGATGAATAAGATATTTCTTTCTTGCCACACAGTCTTAATTTTGCTGGAAAGGAAACGCCATCCCTCTTATAGCCAAGTCAGTAAGTGATTCACAGTGAAACTGGTAGATCAAGAGGTCTGTTTTTCTTGCCTTGGTGTCAGTTGTTGTTTTCTGATGGGAGCCTGAGACTCTTGCACTTTAACTCATCCAGTGTTTTCCAGTGTTTGTAGTTATTTGCCAAGTGTTGCATCAGAACAGGCAGATGTGCAAATGCTGAAATGAACAGGAGAAACAGTTGTACCTATGTATACAGAATGGGCAGAAGAACAGCCCAACCTCATTCTGAAATGGGCATTCTTTTCCTACTGTTTTTTGTTCCTTCTGCTGTAAGCTAATGGTAAAAGGGAAAAGATTTTTTTCAGTCTATTTCTCTTTCAAGCAAATCCCTTTCTTACAGTATGATGACTTTATTAGATTATGCTAGCACGCAACCACTGTGATCTCAGTTTCTACTGCTCAAAAGAAATACATTGCTAAATGAAAAAAAGACCTAGATGAAAAAAAGCTTAGTTTGAAGCCACTACTCCTTCTTTACACAGATTATCTGGTAAGCACTCAACTTTCATAAAGCTGGTGTTGTGTGCAGTGAAACGGGATTCAGCAACATAATTGCTTAGATCCTATGCTGTACTGCTTATATATGGGTACTACCCCTAAAAAAATGGACTCACGGCCAGTCTGAAATGAGTAATATTAGTCGGGAGGAATATCTGCCTCAGAGCAAGAAAGAAAAAAACAGAAGTACTTACCATCCCATGCATCAAACATATCTGTTATAAAATAATCAATGAAGGAAATTTGAGACTTGGGGATGCTGCAGGTGTTTCTGTCAAATACTGGCATTACAACAGGTAGACCCTGTCTCTTCTCTTCATCAGTCTAAGAAAACAAAACTCCAGTTAGCCCTTAGAGTTTTGCTGGCTTTCATGCTGGAGTAGCAAAGTCCAGAGGATTAGATGAATTGCAGTAGATTTGAGACAAACCTTGGAATCCCTGAGGTGAGCTGCCTTAGTTCCATGTGCTTTATTTGGTCTGGAACAGGGACTGAAATCAGCACCTCTTCCCTTTCACAAATACTCTGATTACCATAGTGCCGTGATTGCTCTTGTCTCCAGTGAGACAAAATGCTCTAATCTGGTCATTAGGGCACACCAGCTAAAAATGGAAAAGGGGGTTGCAAAGTCCTTTAGCAGAGGACAGGTTTGATCGCCTTTTTTCCACACCCTTGTCTGTTTCAAACATTTGGTTTTTAAGTAAGAGGGAAGTTGCTGTTGCTACTTTCTATGCTTGTATTGGGTTACTAGATGAATAAAAGTAAGGGTCTGCCCTTCAACTCTGTGTCCACAACTGGAAAAGGTCTGATTTTGTTGTGCTCTGTATGGTGGAAGAGCCAATCACTTCAACAGTCTTAGAATTTAATTACAACCCCCCCCATTTTAAGTAGTAGAGGCTGTACCTAATGCTGGAATTGGCAGCAGAACAGTCCCCAGAATTACCGGATGAGTTGAATGAAGAGCAGAACCTCACGTTGCTGCAAGGAGGATAGGGCCTAAGATCGTCAATTTAAAGCTAGCTTGTGATACCTTGACTGCTGGGGAAATGCAGCCTAAGTGATCAAATTTATTCACTATTACTAAAGTGAAATTCAGACATGTTTCAGGCACTAACTACTTTTTTCTTTCAGTAATATCTGTCACATGTATGATTGGAATGTGGATGGTAGGCATGCCTACTTTTCTGTCTCTCCAGTTTTGCACTATTAGTGGCAAATAAAAGCTTAAGAACCTATCAGTTGTCCAAATAAAGAACTAGAAGAGCGTTTCACTTTCAGAAAGCTGGTGCATTTGTGTTAGAAAAACAGCATTAAGAAGGGAAGTTGAGCTTCCAGTTTTGTCCAGAGAGATCCCATGTGATAAATATTTACACTGCCCACATGCCTGCAGTACTGGCCTGCTACATCATCTGCCTACCATGACAATAGTTCGGGTGCCCTCTTACAAGGGAGAGGCCCAGCCTGATGACTCAGATAAGGGCTACATCAGGCATGGATCTTCGTGCTCTCTTCAGGGAAGATATAGGGACTAGAAGCTAGAATGGTGATGGTCTTGAATTTCAGCTGATTAAATTGACTGAGGCTAATCAAATAATTTTGTTTTGGCCAGACAGAGGAAGCTGACAGTGTAAAACACCCACTCCACCATTCTGTACTGCAAGCTTCATGGTAAGCAAACTAGCCTTACTTTGGCAGGAATGAATTCTTCTGCGTGAAATTGAGGGGCCAGTTTTGTCTGAGGACAAAAAGCATATGTCTGGACTCCAGGGTGATGCCAGGCAGATCCTGTGTGGAACAACAGGAAACCCAGCCCACGTGCACTTTCTTACATAACCTGATAGTCAAATTATAAAAATATATGTACGTACCTGTGCAAAATACTCCTCTGAAATCCTTCCTGCCCATTCAATACATAGCTCTAGGGGGCGACATGGATTTGCTACATCTGCACATTTAATCATCATGCGTTTGATCAGTGTCTGGTTATCTGGAAAATTCTTTATATTGGCTGTACATTCACAGTCGCTGCCTTCGCTCTGTAAAAGAGAGCTGGTTACAGGGGCCAATGGCCAGCATCCCTGTGAGCAGGAATGAGGGCATCATTATCAGCTCTACTGCACTTAGGCAGTAAGCAGGCACCTAGCCTGACACCTGATTTCCTGCAGAGCACTAGGAATTTGGAGTAGAAAGCGATACCCGAGAACTGCAGCTTTGCTAAGTAACTAATGATAGCCTTATATATGACAGTTGCGAAGATTCTCAGAAGTAGTAGCAAAGTCTGTGAAATAAAGGAGTCACAGGCTTTTTATCAGGAAGTGTGAGTTACCCTTCTCTGCATCCCAGCCTTGCCCCCTTGGAACAGGACCGGGAAAGGGGACTCATCCACCAACTGCAAGCATCCTCACTGCTGAGTGTTTAAATTTGAGGATGGTGATGGTAGGGGGCTTCATTTAGGAGAGGTTCTAGAGTTTCATTTTCATTCCCAGATGAGAAAACTGCAGTAGGCATAGGGGGGTGAACTGATTTGCACAACTGACTGTTCTTCTTACAGGCAGAAAAACAGGTCTGTGCCATTCAGCTCCAGTATGTTTGCAAATAAAACTGCGTTCTTTCTTTGTGCTGGATTTTGAACCCTCAGCCTGGAATACTTTTTGGTTTTAGTTACCAACTAGGTTGAAGACTCGAATAATCCATGAGATTAACAGTAGGAAAATGCAGGAGTGGCAGACTGACTGCAGAATGTCTCTGCTAGCTAGGCAGTTAAATGCCAAACTGCTCATTGACTGCTCTGGAGAGTGGGTGGAGGGGATAGAATAGTTGTTACAAGTCTGCTGTGGCATCATCTTCTGGGTCTTGAACAGTTCAGAAGGGCACAGATACATTATGTTCCTTATTGAGTAATAAAAAGCCTCCACCTCAGCTCACCATGGCATTAACACTATTCTCAAAATAATATATTTGTGTAATTATGGCCTCCCTTAGCAGCTGAATTCAACTCTTGAGTCAAAAATTGAACATAAATACTTTTTACCACCACGGCTAAATTAATGTCTTTGTGGTTTATGGGGAGATATTTTGCAGTGACTCTTGCCAATTCAGGCATTAATCTTCTAACTTTATGTTTAGCAGTTAATTTTTTTCAGCATGGGTACCCCAGCAAAGAGCTGCCAAATTAACCCTGTTCCTTAACTGCTGTTCAAGATCAAAAATAGAAAGAGCCACTATTAACAATAAGGAACAGAACAACCTAATACTGGGGAAAAAAACAAGTCTGTATTACAAGTGGTTCTGTGCTCCACTTTTATTGCTCTCCAACTCCTGTACATTTTAAAATAGCCTCTGCTACAAGCCAGTAAGATAAAGGAGAATGAGTCAAAGGAAATGTTTTCTATAGGTTAGAAAAGCTGATTGCAGTAGAATGTATGGAGAGTGTTTAAAAGCTCTTTAGGAAGTGCTGGACCAAATGCATACTTGGGATAAGAGGGAGATTCCCAAAAATGTGTTCAGAGCTTGGAAACACCTAGGTTTCAGTGAGGCTTGTGAATCTAAATCCTACAGGCCAATGCGGGGATCCCAGAAAACTAAAGAGATTTTAAAAGGGTGGAGATGGAGGAAACATTTCACAAAATTGCTTAAGCTGTCAGGAGGAGAAATGAAGCCACATTTCCCAGTGACACCTCAGAGAGCATTTTTAGAAATTGGTGGAGCAAGCTGATGCCTGGCTCACATGTAAGTGCTGAGAAACCTCAGATCGGGTAATTCTGTGCTGTCCACTGATGTGGACTTTCCTTTCCTCTGGGGTTTGATCTAAAGTGGGATCCCCACTGTCCTGGCTTAGCCCGTGCCAGGAGGGCAAACCCATGAAACACAGCGCTGGGCGATGTGCTAGGGGCGTAGTGCAGACACAGTGATGGGGGCCCCTAGCACTGCCCAAACCACGTCCCCCTGTGCTGTGGGACTTCTGACACTGAAGATGATCAGGCTAATTCAGACCCAGTGCCACATCCAGTGAGCCCTCCAGAGCTTGGAAGTGCTGGGGAGTACAGTGCAGAGCATCCACAGAGCCAATGAAGATCAGCAGCATTTGTGACTTCGAGATCAAAGTGTTGAGAGAGCGGAGCTCAGTGATCCCTAGAAGTAGGACAGTTCAACTGAGGTAATGCTGTCCCTCAAGTTATAAATGCTACTGGTCCTGACTGGTTTCTGCAGCTGTGACAGTCTACAGTGCAAAAAGCCCAGTTTGGGAGAACTGACAGAAGCTACTTTTATTTATTTTTAGTATCACTGACTTTTGATTTGGTCTGGTTTTATTTTTTTCAATGTTTCTACCAAAGCTCTATTTTCACTAAGCTGTGATAAGAGGGTCTTTGCTTAGGTGAGTAACACTGCCCTGGAGAACCCAGTCAGGCACTGAGTGCTCAACCTCGAGAGGCAACAAGAGAAGGTAAAGAGGGGTCTGGGCTGGGAAACTTGGAGGCATCTTATGAAATATTCCCTGGCTGATGATGGAGCATTAGGGTGTATAACTGATAGCAGTAAAGGCCTGGGCATCTCTTGGTACCATCAGGAATGGGGATGGGGTGGAGAGGTCTCAGAAATCAATGGAGTTACTGAAGGCTCCAGATGACGTACAGTTTACATAGACACAAAACTGTCAGGGCAGGTTCCTCAGTTACAGCCCCAGGCTTTGGAAAATCCCACTGTTGGAGGCAGGTCTGCAGGCACGAGTGTTGACCTGGCTCCATGCACAGAATTTTGCATGTACGATAGCACCTGCACGCATGTTTTCTGAACACAAGATGACTTTGAAGGCAAGGCTTATAAAATGAAGTGTTTAAGGGAGCTAAGGGTAGAGCCAGACATAGAAAACAAGAAAATGAAAGTATTTTTTCACATTTTGAGGTGTGAGGTCACAAATCCACTTGGGTCTTTTGGGCATTAACACTGCAAATTCATACCCTGAATGAACATTATAGTTAAAATTGTCTCGGGAGAAATTCACTGAAATGCCTGAAGACATAAACTGCTGGAAGCACTTACATGTGAGCTGCTCTCCTCAGATGCCATTGGCTTGTTGATGCTGTTCACAAATTTGTTCACATGCTCGAAGTGCTTTGTCATCTCTGTTGCCAAAACCATATCAATAATGGCCTGGCGCAATGTCCGGTAGTGACTTCTAGGAAAGAAAAGTAGTTCCCGCTCACAAGCCTGCCAGACAGAGCTCCATCCATTTCCTTGTCCCTGCCCAGGCAGTGATGCAGAACACTGCATGGGGTCTCATCCACATGAGCTGGCACCTTCAGAGTTATGAATTGTCTAGGCTTAGGGAAATGGACTAGATCATACCTCTCCAGGTTCCTCCAGCTCTGAATTCCTGTATGGGCTTTTTTCTGTTACTTTTACCTAATGAGAACCAATCCCCTGAAGTTAATAAAAATTTACAATTTCGTAATGCTGTAACACTAAGACAACTTCTCCAGGAATGACTTCATCACATTTCTATCTCACTGTACGTTAACATGGAAATCAAATCTCATGTTTTTCAAAAACCAACCGTGTCGGGGGGGGGGTAGGCCATTTCATTACCTGTTTGGGGTCAGGCCCTTTCCCTTTCAGATCCCTTTCTCTCCCACCTTGTCCCTGCAAAAGCTAGACTGATGCAATGGGAACTCCTAGGTTACGTGCATGCCCAGCAGCTGGGTGCTTCCAACTCTCCTAGAGCTTCAGCTCCCTCTGCCACTACCTGTTTCTGTCCCATGTGAATGCAGCAATGCCAGCAAACACAGGGCCACGTGCAGACACAGCTTGCAGCACCTGGCTGCTTGTGTGGAAACATGGCCTAAAAAAGTAATTTCCAGGCTCCTGCAATGAAGAGGCAGTGGGTGAAGATGCAGCCTTGAGGCTGCCTACTGAGCCATGCCAATGTAATCCATAAAAGATTATCAAACATTCTATAAACTTAAAAAAAAATACAAATTGGAGGACAGAGTGGGAAAATCAAAGCCTTTTTAAAATTCATGTCTAAATAGGAATCTGGAAGGTTAAATGTCTCTATTTAAATTATATTTTCTGGTTTAGAAGGTAGGCTCTTAATCTGCCCCGAACTAAAACCATCAAACAAGCAATCCACACACATACACCCCTTCTCTAGCAGACTCACCTGTCAATATTCTTGAAAATGTTGCATTTGCTGTCTTTAGTTGTAAGCTGAAATGCCAGTGCTGTGTGATGACTCTCTAATACAGCCGTATCATTGTAAAGGACAGCTAATTCACTACCTGCATTGCACAGGAAAGAGTTGGTCCGTCCAGGGTGGTCTACATCATGAATGGTGGCAGCTATTAATGCAGCCACCTCATCTAAATGGTCAAGACTTCCCTACAGGAAGAGAGAAAAATTATGATGTTGCACAAAAATTACAGTAAATAATCTCTGATCATCTCCAGGGACCCACAAATACACAAGTGTACACTCAAGTGCAGGGATCCTACCTCACTGCAGTTGTTTTCCACTCACTGCAACCACACATCACCTACTCCAGAAACCCCCCTCCCGACTTTACCCAAGCCCTCTTTCCTTAATGAAGCTTTTTGCTGTGCTGTCACCTAAGCATTATCTTCATCAAATCCTCTAATGGTGGATGGATACTGCAGTGGCATCCTTCCATTTTGTGTGCTTGCCTGAATGATTCTGTACTGACTGCTCCTATGCAGCTTGTGTGTTTTAGAATAGGACAGGACATTCTGGTTGGAAGGAACCTACAACGATCATCTAGTCCAACCGCCTAACCATTTCAGGACTGAACAAAAGTTAAAGCATGTTGATAAGGTCATTGTCCAAATGCCTCTTAAACACTGACAGGCTTGGGGCATTGACCACCTCTCCAGGAAGCCTGTTCCAGTGTTTGACCACCCTCTTGGTAAAGAAATGCTTCCTGTTGTCCAGTCTGAACCTCCCCTGGTGCAGCTTTGAACCATTCCCACACCTCCTGTCACTGGATCCCAGGGAGAAGAGATCAGCACCTCCCTCTCCAAAGCTTTTGCAAAGCTTTATTAAGAGCTGTTACTGACAGTCAGTTACCACCAGACAGAAAAGAGCCAGGTTCCCCTGCCCCCACTATTATTGCTACTTAAAAATAGATTTCTTACTCGTATAAAGACACTTTAGAGAAACTGTGGGGTCTGTAGGCATCACAGGAAGACTTCAAAGGCAGAGAGGTTTTATGAAACCAGTACAATTATTTAAGTAAACCTCTGACTTTTGAATGACACACATAAAATGGACAAACCGAAATCCTAGCCCAAAGGACTCCTAGGTGATGGTTATACCTTAACTCTCTCCTTCCCGAGAAAGAAAGCGGTAGCATGCAGGACATCTGCCGCGTGTGTAGAATTGTGGTATGAGTTGGAGGAGTGGTAGTTGGCTTCAATCACCTGCAGCCATGCTCGCAGTGTTGCTTCTGAACAGTTTAAAAACTCAGACACTCTAAACCGGGCAAAAATTTTTAAGCCCAAATACACTAACGGCCTGAAAAAAAATAGATGAAGAAAGCACTGCTGTAATATAGGAACTTCTGGCATTCTAAAGAGTGAGTTTTGGCAAAGAAACCAACAAAAACTTAAAAGGTGAGGGGGGAAATGTTAAACATTTATAAGTACAAATTACACACTTATAACTTCTCAAAGGATGGCCACATCTACCATCCTTTCAGATGTTATTTTAATATGTTTTGTAGAAATGGTGCAGTTCCACTAGAGTTTCACCAATTCTCGTGGCTTCAGAAAAACTTAAAATCTCAGGTCTTTTGTGCTTTTAGTATCTGTCAATCAACCAAAAATAATTTTTTTTTTTTTTTTTTTCCTGGGGAGAAAAAGCATGCACATGACATGGGTACATCCCAAAGTCTAAAAAGCCCTAAGACAAAAAAAGGTCAAATGTTTACTGTTTCAAATAATCCTGTGAATTCAGAAGGCCCAGATTTCTACTGCCTGACTATTGGAAGGTGGTAATATGCCAAGTATATTTATGTTTCTCAGTGAAGCTCTTAGCATCAGATTATTTCATGTGAACTCTTCTTGCTTTAGGAGGACTGGATCACTTTCTAGAATTGAGGCAGGAGTCTGTCATTGGTACCCCAAGCTCCCTCTTGGATTCCAAATACTAACTCTGTGTGTGTGTGTGTGTGTGCACACACACATGCTCATGCATCTGTGTAGGGGGTTAATGTCTAAAATTGAACTTCTGAACAGCAGAAGCCTGCTATTTTCCTGCTTCAAGTGATATGGGCTGGACTAAACAGAGATAGCATGTTCTGAATCCTACCAGCAGTGATCTCCTGGCTGGACAGGAAATGTAATAGTGGGGAGGACAGCAATGAGCCTGTGTGTGAAACAGTAGATAGAGTAAAATCTCTAATCTTGTTGGTTCTTAAATCCAAATCCACTCTGGATTATCATTTACTCTGTGCTGTCTGTGACAGAGTCCTATCTGTCAGTCACATTTTTCAATAATGCAAGATGATCTACAGGGCTTCTGAACTGAGAAAGGCATAACCAAAAGCCAACACCTGCAAATTAAAACCAGGCAAGTGCAAATTCAAAAAATGGCCATTTTCTTTAAACAGAGTACAAAAGACCTGTTAGTCTTTCAAATTCTTTGCATCCTGGAATGAAAATCACTTTTCTCTGTGGATGACATGTTTATTTTTGTGGTCTGCATGACCTCAAAACGACTGACATCTTCTTTCATTATAAGCTTTTAAATCTCAGGCTCTTGATCCTATCACTGGTTTATCTTCCATCCCCATTTTTTATCCCTATAAACAAAAGTCACAGTTGCCTCAGAGCTTCCTAAATCGTAGTGTGATTTAGGTGAGGAAGGGGAGAGGCTTGCTTTTTCCAGCATGACCATTTGCACATCATCAGGAAAAAGGGGCAACTGTGGGACATCCAGCATGTAACACCAGACTGTGCCAAACAATGTCACCTGGACAGAGTGGATGGGAGTTAAGCAAGGTAAAAGTTGAGCACAAACGATCCTGGAGGGCTGCAGACACTGTGGGAGGAGACAACTGTCTGCACAGGGCTCTCCATGGCCTGTGCATGCGTCTTGACCATGGTGTGTGCCTGGCTTGTTAAAAGGGACCAATGGTATCAAACACACACACACACACAAAGAAAGACAGCTCTCACAGATTTGCTGTATCTTGCTTTAGTTTTTCCAGAGCAAAGCACTTTCTGCTACAGCTCCTCAACAAACTTTTTGCAGGCCCCAAGGGAAAGGAGTCCCGTACCTTTTACTTGTAACAGCCTCCAACTCAAAAATATTGAAGTCCCAGCTTTCCTCATTTTCCAGGAGCTGTGCAATACAGGGCGGAACATCACTGATGGTGTTTGGCACGGAGAGGTGACTATGGCTCAGGTTTATATCTGTTGAAATGGGATTTGGGAATTACAACATTTCTAGATTGTTTTTTTCCTTTACATGCAGAATTCAATTCAGAAAACAACTCTTCTTCAAGAAAAATGACACTTTTCCTTACACAAAAAAGTCTGTAAAAGCTGATAATATATATGGATTATATTATTACAGATGATTTAGACATAAATCAAAAAGATCAGTGAACATTTTTTTGAGTGACAGTTTACTTTCTCTTACTCTGATTTTCTATATTTTGAGATGCATTATTTTAATTATTTAAACATGCTTTAACTCTAAAATGGAGGTAGTCTAGCACTTGTTCTGCAGGCACTTAGATAACCATTTCCAAAGACATACATCCTGCTGAAAATTAGCTTGGAGCTCTATGTCACTAGCATCTACAAAAGGAATCACACATGCAAGGGGAAGTTTAAAATGGTGGCTTACTCTTAGAAAACACATACTCATTTCCTGACAGTCTTCTCAAGCCATCCTGAAAAAGCAAGTTTTATTATAAATTTTAGGCAGAGTAATCATCCATCATTAATTGCAAAAACATTGCATGCACTTTCCCTTTAGGTACTATTCATGGGTACCAAAAGCACTGCTCCTATTGTAGCACTATAAGCACCATCCTTGTTTTAAGGTCTTTCAAAACAGACATGAAGGGATCCAAGGGACACTAGTATGAGATCTCCAGAAAGGATGTTACTAACTACACAGTGTATTGCCCTCCTTGACCCTTTCATTGGCACCTGCAAGATTTCATCATTCAAATTAACTACTATCATTTATTTTTCATTTTCTTTATATCATTTTGACAAGCATTAGCTCAGTGTACATTAAAAAATGAGGTAATCTGTGATGAAATCTAGGTGGTCTGTTTCTGGCAGACAATGTTGTTGCTGTTACAGGACCAAAGTCAGAACCTGATCAAAGTAACCTCACTTTCACAGTGGACCAGCTGTAGAGCGATCCCTCTAATCCCATCTAAACTTCTAGGGTTTCTAAAAAGCACCTCCTTGAGACAAATCAGGTTGGATGATTCAGTTTCTAGTAGCAACCATGCTCACTTATACATGAGGATGAATGCACCCAATGAACTGAAACGTGGCCATATCTTACAACATTTTGGTGCCTACTGCTGGTAGAGGAGACAAAAGACTTAAGTGTAATGGTGGTGAATTATGAGTTCCCTTCCCATTGCTTGTGAAATTTTAGCACAGCAGAGCACTGAACTGTGATGTAGAACACTGGTAGCAGTAATTTCATCTTTACTAATTTTACTCACAGTCATCAGACCTCCAACAAGATCACTTGTGTGAGGATCTTCATCTTTGGTACCTAGCTGAGGGGAATAAAGTTCTGTTGTTCGCAGGATTTCCAGAACTCTGTCCAAGGCCTCTGCGACTGTGATGGGGCTGTTTTCCTGGGCAGCATTAATTATGTTAATAACCTGAAAACAGATTAAGGAGGCAGTGAAGGAAGAGTGAATGGCACTTTTGCCTTTTCTTATTACAAAATCTTTGGCTTGCTTATGCTACTTCCCATTTAGCAAATGCTATGTAATACCCCCAACCCTTGAAGTACAACTCTGAAAATGTATATTTGTGCTCAGATTCCCTGGTAGCCATCTGCTATTTATAACTGTCAAAATCCTGGGAAGTGAAAGCAGAAATGTGTGAAATATCTGAAATAGTTTCAGGTGAGTAGACCAAAAACTAGCCATGTCCCAGTCCTTCAGCATGGCTAGAGCTGCTCAGAAGCAATTATTCAGTCCCTAGAGGAAAAAGCCAAACAAATGAACAGCAGGGGCACTACAGGCCTCCCTGAAGATACCTCTGGGGAGAAGGAAAAGGAGTCAGCTGCTTTAGCAGGCATGGTGGTGCTGGGAATTAAAGAGCTTGAGGAGAGAAAGAAAAGATGGGGAGAGGAGAAAAAATGGTTTGAGGGTGAGAGATGGCAGGCACTCTGGTTTACAGGACAAGCGATTGTGCAGTTGGTTTGTGACAGAGAGTTTGTATAGCACAGATAGTGAAGAAAAGACTGCAGGAAAGCTGTGGGACAGAATATGGTGCAGATTCTCCCTCCTCTGCACTCTATCTTATAAATATCAATGGTAAAAACAAAGGTGAGACTGGAAGCTCGTCTTCCTACACATGCACGGCCCAACAGAGCAGGTTGCCCTTCCTGCCACAAGCAATACATCTAGCAAGGACACCCTTTTCCCCTTTTTAATATTCTTCCTTTTAACTAGGATTTGGAATGAGATGATGAGATGCAGAAAGTGGTAAGAAGAAAAAAACAAAAATATTTAAATTATTCTGTTAAATACAAGGTGCAGGAAACCCTTGGCTTTTCTGCCACAAACTACATGCTTCCCTATGAGAGAGACTCCAGACTCTGAGTTTGTGAAGAAAGGCAGTGCTCAGGACTCACCTTTGTGATAGGAGCTTCTATTGTCATTGAGTGGATCCTTGCCATGGAAGAGTACCGTCGGGTCTGTAAACTTGAAGCTGCCGTTAAAGAGAGCACTGTTTACATGCCACAGAGTGTAAATCAGATGACACCATTTAAAGAGTGCAGGATGTTGTCACTGGGGAACAACATGACAGAACCCAGCCTCATCTCTCATTTCTTCTGTATTTCCCTTCCTGCGAGTTCTTGCTTTACTGTTTAATTTCTTGCACTGTTGTCTACCTCCTTTGATGCCACCATTCAACTTCTGCTGTCAGATTTTCTCTCCATCCGCCACTTCAGCTATACTGAAATGAAGCTGAACTTAAGCTATGTTATACTTCATGCCCAGTACCTGCCACTCTCCCTCTGTTTGCCGTGAATCCCTGTCTGACATGGCTCCTCCTGGGATAGTATGTGTGTATATGTCCCTCATCTCAGTGATACGGCTGCTCTAAAGAAGTCCATTCCTGCTCCCCATAAACTGTGCTTCTCCCACTACATACAGGGGCAGAAAGAAATCTCTGTCACCACCAACCCAGCCCCAGGAAGCATTGACAAATGGGATCAGGAGCAGAAGTACTGCTATCAAGTAACCAGCAGCAATAGATCCCTTCATGTCCCACACTAATGAAACCAAAATACTGGTTTGGGAGCACAAGCTGCAGATTTCTAACAGAGGTGGAACTAACACCTCACCATGCACTCTTTTAGCAGGCTGCCCCATCCCACAGCACAGCCACTGCTCCTCTCTGTGAAGACACCGTGAGCTGCCATGCATCACATACTGATGCTGGTACTCGAGCCAGGGTGCTGTTTCGTAAAGCAGAATAAAGAAATTTTACAGCAGTTATAAAAAAATGGAGTAATCTGTTTAATAAGGTGTGAATCTGTCTGGTTCCTCTTTCGTTCTGCATTTTTATTGTCTAGGGCAAGTCTGTTCTTTATTTATAACATCATTATTGACAGTTTACTTTCTTACCATCACTACTTTGCGATGTTACTGACTTAACATCCGTTGAGTCTTTCCTTCTGTTCTTGCATTTGAAAGAATGGGATTCTGCAAAACAAAAAACAAAAACTAAAAATGCATCAAGTAAGACCTCTACAGAATCTCCTCCATCTAAAATTCAGAATATTTAATTAAATGATCTTAATGATACCACATAAGTGGGGGAAATATTGTAATCTGTGCACCTCAGAACAAGGGACTCAGTGTCTAGCAACTTACATCATCTTGTCTAAGGCCACCTGGAAAGCTGTTTCAGAAAGAAGTCAAGATACCTTATGGAACAGGGGAGTTGCTTCACCTAACTTTAGCTGCCTAAAAGCAGCAGTCTTTCAGGCTGTCTTTGAGGTAGTTGTCAAAGACCCTGCTTTAGGAGAGGTGTCTCAGGAAGGTGGGTTGAACCCCTCCTGGCTGCAAGTCCCTGTTGCTCTCCCTCAAGCACTGAACAAGCCTGGGTTTAACTGGCTAGAAATGTAGCCATGAGAAAAATCCTGTCTCAGTCTATACTCTTCCAGCCCAAGCACAGTTCAGACTCAGACAGCTTTTGCTTTTAATTTCAGTAATTGTTTATACCCTGTGTTTAAGAAAAATCCAACATACTGAGAATGATTATAAACAATCAATTCAGTTGCTGTGAAAATTAACCACGCACCAAGCTGTCATTCTTGAAGCTGTCATTTGCTAAAGCAAGAGAAATTATCACAATCAGACAAATGCAATAGCTAGATGAAGTGCCTGGAAAGAGCCTCAAAAAAAAAAAAAAAAAAAGAAAAAAGAAAAGAAGAAAAAATATTTGGTAAAATTTAATTTTCCTCCAAAATATTATAGTCTGTACTCTTCCTTATGTTTAAAAACATCAAGCGTGCATCTGTGCATCTCTTCACAAGACTCTCTACGGTATGTATTCCCAGAGTATCTGAAATGCCACTTAAAGAACAGAGACCCCAGCAAGCTTTCAAAAGGAGATAACCACCATGTGAAGAATCAGAAATACCATAAAATTAATATTCCCAACATAAGGATGGATTTGCATAACAGTGTTACTAGACTGAATATATATGCAGCCTGTCTTTAACAAAATAAAATGTTAGTTTACAATTCTCCAGAATTAAATATATATTCATCTTACAAGTAACCAAAATATAGTTTCTGTCTTAATTCTTTTCTTTACCACCAATTTACAAGACATCTTGGATCTTTTTATTTTGTTGTAATCCAGACTGGAGAAACTGGGAACATTTTCTTCTGTCCACAGGTAAGAGTAGGGAATAACTAATGCACGTTAAATTATTTTATTTATTTATTGATAGGACTCCTCTTTCAAACCCCTTTTCTGCATCAACATTTTGAGGAGTTTAACATAAGGCACTTGAGTGCGAGCAAACATTTACACATAAACATAGCTGCAAGTGGCAGTAACAGGCAAGACAAGTCTCTTTGTATCAAATATCAACTAGCAAGTTGGGAACTTTGCTAGTGCCACTTGTAGAGTCATGGGTGCATAAAAGCTACTCTCTGCCATGCTACAACTTCAGCCGAAAATATTTAAATGATTAAATAAAAAATTTTCCTTCACCTGGCGAGCAGAATGTCTCCCCATCCAGATGTGTTACAACTCACACCATCGCAAACAGCACAGTACACATGGAATATTTTTCTACCCTCATCACATACTGGTATATGCCCATGTCTCTGGGCATTTATTCTTGGAGCACAACCATGGACTGCAAGGAAGGATAGCCTACATCACATACGCATGACTAAGGTTGCCTGCTTTCACTGCACTGCAGTCATCAATGTGGCTTCATGGGACGTGGCTTCCCAGACTTGCTGAAATCTGGGACAAGAATGAGCAAACCTAAATTCCCCATGTGATCTGTAAGACACATTAGTAAACTGGTAACAATGTATTAACTAGTAACAAGTGTTCTTCAATATAATTCACAGGCATTCTCACCTGCCCCTGTTAGCAGGAAAGAAACAGTGAGAAAGAAAAACTACTTTTATTAAAGGGACACAGGATCAAACAGTTTGATACTTGATGGATCAGTTCTGATGGCAGCAATGGGAATGAGAGCAGCAAATTGCATGTATTATCTCTTCTGCTCCCTGTCCAGTATTACTTGGCACCACAAAGCTCTCTGATGCTTGTACATATTCTTATGGGACTTGAAAAAGTAGGGGATGTCAAGCAGACACTTCCCATGTTCTTGGTACATTACATCCTTCTCCCATGTGGAAATCAGAAGCTGCCTGGCCCTGCGCAGCAACACTGCCCAGTGTTTCATAGTGGGAAGGGGGCCTCATTTGCCAGAAGGTAACAAGGCACGAGAACCTGTTCACTCAGAATAAGACAGCAGTGCTGCATCTGTTTCAGATCACTAGAATTTCAAGCTCAGAATTGGCCTTTAGTGCCTGCTCCTCCAGGGAAGATGGTTATTCCAAACATAACATGGCATCAGAAGAAGAGCTCATCCCCTTATACTCCACACTTTTAGCAAAAAACTATCTGCAGAAGTTACTGAGAGCTTGAATGTGATGTCTGCAAGTAAGCAACCTGCCTAAGACATAGGGCAGGGAAGGGTTGTGCAGACACGCTGCAACAACTCAGCGCTGAGTGGACAGGACCAGCTCTAGCCTGGACACTACAGACAGCTATCGTAGCCCTGTGCTGGGGCCAAACCAATGGCCTGCTGACGCATCCTGAACTCGGAGACACTAGGGCATATCTGCTGGTGCAAATCAGCACAGTTCCACATTAATTTCAAACAGAAGGGGGTGTCAAGGTGCACCAGCTTCAGGATCAGACACAGTATTTTAACTCCAAATGCATGGCAAGAGCTCTGCATGGGAGATTGAATTATTAATGATGGTTACAAATTCAATTCGTGGTGCAACATCAGAGCAGCTGGCATCCGTCATTGGCCATCTGCTCTGACCACTGACTCAACAGAGGGAAGAGACAACATTTCACACCAGCAAAGAACCAGGCAATGACCTCAAGCACAGAGGTATATAAAGGTAAATGGCAGTATTCTAACCTGACTGAGAATTGTCTTCTGTGTACTTCTCATCATGGTGACTCTTGTAGAGCTGAAGATCCACCAAGAGTAAAATATATATGTAAGGAAACAGAATAAAAAAAGATTTTAAAAGGGCTACATTCAACACTGTCCTTATCCAACATTTACTGTTCAGTTATTTTTAAAAAAAGTGTTTGGCAAAGACTCTTCTTCAGGTGTAATTAGATGTAAAGAAATAATATGAAAGTAAACAGAGATGCGGTGCAACACAGATACAATAGTGCTTTTATATACAAAGTTCCTGTTTAATGCCTGTATCTGCAAAAGAACTGACATTCATTTTTAGATAGTGTTTTAAGTGCAAATTGCATATGAACCTGAAAGATTCCAGGAATAAAACATAAAAAGTAAAAAAAAAAAAAAAACCAAAAAACATACAAATGTTCATTTTTACCCCCTGTACAGTAATTCTAAAACTAATTTCTTAGTGCTATCTAGGCTAATTTTGCATGCATCCTTTCATGTGTCACTGATAAACTGGACTTCATAAAACCCAGTTACAAAAACAACTTTCCAGCAACAGAAGAGTAGATGTAGGTGTCATACATCAGAGCTGTCTTTATTTCCAAGTAATTTTTAATCATTATCATGAATGAAGAAGTTAAACACAGAATCTTAATTCTTTGTGCTTCAGAAATACCTTGGGTAGCTCCACCGATATTTCAATCTTTCTTAGAATTTAAATAGGATATTTTTATCATCTTAAAGTTTACACCTATTGTTTGGTTTACAATAACACAGATTAAATGCTCCTCTGCGTTTCCATTCAGGTCAGAAGTAAAACCACAGTCTGTCTAATAGGTGACCGTTTACTGTCTGCTAATCACTTCACCCCATTCCTTTGTTATGTTGCTATAAGGAAGTCTTTTGTTGTCAATAAGAAAACCCCGTGAAACTTTCAATTCCTCAAGTCTTCCCTTGAAAGTTAGCACATGATACATTTAGGTACAGCTAACAGAGACACTGAAAAAGACTAAAAATAATGCATGACTTTTTTTACTGTATTCACTAGAGAAGATATATATACCCTCTACTTAAATGAATAAACTTCAGTGCTTCACACTGCACTTACACATTATTCAATACACATAGCATTTAGGAGTCCAGTATTGTCGTCTAATCTGTGGTGGCTGGCTCCTCTGACCAAATCCATTACCTTCTTATAGCAAAACACTAGATTGCATGGAAGCATGAAATCCATGGTTGCAAACTGTGAGTTAAAAGGGGAGTATAGCATGGTTGCACCTAGGCACTCTTAGTGTCTATATAATTTCACGACAGTGCATGCTGCAGGGTCCTTATAGGGATTATTCAGTAAAGAAAGGAAAGGAATGATACAAATCTTCTCTTCCATCATTTTTGCGCACCTTCCATCTTTTATTTTCTTTTTGCTACTGGGGGGGGGGGGAGAGGGTAAAAAGGAAAGAGAAGATAATGGACAGAAAGAAAAAAAAAAAATTCAGGAGTGAGTTTCTGTAACTAAGAAGAAGAAAAAAAAAAAAAAAAGGGAAATCCTGCTGTGCTTATCTTCACTGTGAGAATACTTAATACACCCTCAGATGTATTATTTTTTTCTGTGCATAAATTTAACAGGCTTAATTTTTGTATGTGATAAATCTGTCATAGATATCCGTGAAGGTTTCTAGACAGTGATCTCTAATCATACTGTGCTACCTCTTATGGCATTTGTCAGTAATGACAAAGAACACATCTATGTTTTTTAAGGTGAAACAATGCATAATAATGTAAGGATGTTTTTAAGTGCATACAGTGTCTGAATGCTGAGATCAAGCCATTTCTAATTATGTTGATGCAGTGAAACATTAGATATTTGCATCAAAATTTGATTTATGACAGCTTTTACTGCTCTGTAACTAAATAAATGGTTTGTTTGATTTCTTTTTATCCTTCCATATAGAATTACCTGTGGCTTGAAAAGAAACCTAGTATTTTTTTAGGGCTGAGAAAAGTTCAACAGCTGCAAGTATTCAGGTATGGATTTTAGGAAAATTGTTGTGTCCAAATGTTGATCAGGATTGATACCATCACATTAGTATTGCTACAAAAATAAGAAATCTTATGGATATAATACAGATATACCTATATGTCACCATCGCTGCCAATCTAAAATGAAAAAAAAACAAAAGCCAACCAAAAACCAAATACAAACCCCAGACCCCAAAATTCCAAGACCTTTCCTTTCCCCTAAAGCACATGAAAACATATCATGTTTCCCAAGAATATCCTCAGTCTAAAACGTTGCCAGCTACTTCCTATGCTCCCCACTTTCTATCTCACCCCTACAGACCACAGGCTAAATACAGATTTCACTCTTTTGCTCACAAAAATCCAAACTTCTTTACTCTACAGACTAGGTACTAGCGTTTTTTTAAGGCAAAGCATGTGATATGTTCATCTGTTTCAGACACTTTCAGAGGGAGCGGACCAGGAGCAGATGACAACAAGCAGGTCCCCATGCCACCAGCTTTGCTGCAGCAGCTGCCCAGGTGGGTATGTACCTGGACTGCAGAGACTCGAGTCAGCTGCTGCTGATGGTTTGCCCGAGTTATGGCTTGGATTACACCCCTCGACAAGACATGTTCTGATGAGCATGCAATGCCTCAGGTCCTGCATGAAGGCTACACTTTATTTAAGAACATACATTGGCAAACCTAGTGACAGCTGAGTGTAGGCCGTTATTAGACATAAGTACAGCAGAGCAGAGTGGCAAGAACAGTTCTAGAAAAAGGCCCCTGAACTTCCTTTGAACTATGGTTTATATTACTCCACAGTATCACAGACTGAACCGTCACATCCATGCTCCAGAGAATTAAAGCCTTTCTTTCTCTTCTCAGCAGTCCTACAAAAGGAGAATAGCCCAAACAAATGCTGAAGTTTTCTTGCTTCCTCCAACAATCAATGAGAATCTAATTGATGATATAGATCACATCCTCTTGGAAAAATATCAAATTCTAAACCAAAAAATATCAGCTTACTAAAAGCAATGAAAGTTATGCAATGAAAGAAATACGATACCTGTTTGTTGTTTTCATTGTTACAATGCAGCCTTTGGATGGACACAAAATGTCTTATTTTCCTAGCAACAGAAATAATTGCCTGTTACCATATCAAATGGTAAAGAGAGAAGTGAAGTGATACGCTGCGATTTTCTAGAGCAGAGGTCTCAATGCCTTCATGAAACAAGACACCAAACACAGCACCAAACAGATGACTGGGAGACAAGCACTCCTTCAGCATTACAGCTGTGTTTTTGTCCCAGGACACCTGATCCTTTTGCTCCTGCAGGAATTCACCTGCACATCTGGGATCAGAATTTGGCAAGGTGCCCATACTACACCACAGAGGTGCAAGCACATACAAGCACACACACAAACCAGGGGATTGCCCAGCTGTTGATCCTTCCAGCTGACCAAGTAAGTCTGGATACTGTAGAATAACTTCATAAAGAAATGCATGGTAACATGAACCTAAACATCAGCTGGCAGGTATCTATAGCAGTAACACAATTAATTGTTATGACTCTTTTAGCCAGCATATGATGACATCAAAATGGCCAAATGTCAGCAAAGAACATGACCTTCTCAACTTTGCTTATTCTTTCCACATTGCTTGAAGTCAGCAGTTATATCATCACCCTGCTATTCAATACATGGAGCTTCATGTCAAACTTACAGATGGGGAAAGCAGAGAGGAGGCCCTAAAAACCAGAAAGCAATTATGTTCTGGACAAGTTAGTTACCCTCCTTGACCGATCACAGGTGTAATCTTCACATGCTGCTGGATACTGTCTCCTGATTTCCTTCTTGAGTAGTAAACTCCTTGCCATTCCTAAGCAAACACACACAACAGGGGCGGCATTTAAGAATACATAGGTTGCAGTCAAATATACACCTATATTACATAGTCCTTACATAGTAAAAAAAAAATACGTATTATTTCATGGTTGTATCTTTTAAAATAGTGTAAAATCTATTAATACAGAGTAGCAAATTTAACAGGCATTTGCTAACGTAAGGACAGTGTAAATATGTTTATCTTGTGAGAGAGTATACAATTTTTACAGAGACCTTTAGGAATCATCCTCTTTGAGGGGTTACAAACTTTCTTGCTACATACCAACTGTGAAGAATTACCAGGCTTGTTGGTGTAGGAACACAGAAAGAATGCAGCATGCTTGTCTTGCACTGATAACCACCCAACCTGACCTGACCAAGGACAGGAGTTGAGCAACTTGTTTATCTGATCAAGGACAGGACAGGTGTGATGGTTTCCAGTCTACCACCTGAAAGCCCAGTAATTAGCAACTGAGTGATGTCTGGGGTGATGTAGAGGTCTCACAGTCCCATATTGCTTCAGTAAAGCCAGAAGAACAGTTGTGCGTCTGCACTGACTGAGTCTACCCACTTCCTTCTGATCAACAACAAAACAAGACTTGTGAAGATCCAACTGGCACATGACAGATGATTTAGCATCACCTTGCCAAGTGTATAAATTTGGTATTTAAAAGCCTTCATTTTGAGGACAAGAACTCCAACTGTTGGATGGATTGATGGGCCTGGACCTCTCCCCTCCCCAAGCAGGGATGCCTCTTTGATAAGATTCATGCCTCTGACTACATCTGATGTTACCTGGGAAAATATTGTTAACAAAAGCACTGAACTATTAACTCAAGCTTGATTCTTGCAGTCAGTGTATTTGTCAATGGCAATTCCAAATCTGTTTTATCTGTTGCCTTAATAAATCACGTATTATTTCAACTTTGTGAAACTGTCTCAGTGAAAGTCCTTGAGAGGGCTCTGAAACAGGAAAACATTGATAAGTGGCTACACACATAATCCATTAGACATAAACTGCTGACCAAATCTGGGACTAAGACTGGACCTAGCCACACCTGGGCTCCTCTCTGAGAAGGAGTTTAGAAAGTAAGGGGGTCCCTTCTGAACCTTGTGGCTCAATGGGAGGGCCTCCCTCAGCCACATACTCTTAATGCAACACCACCATAAGCAGTGGTGGCTGCAACACATCCAGAGAATACCTCCACTGGGAACAGCTTTTATCCTGTTCTGCCATGCAAATGCCCATTTCTCTGCCCAGCCACTAATTTTCTCTCCATCCTCATTGCTACAGAAAAGCATCAAGAGGACTGCAGGCTATCCAAGAGCCATATATGCACCATCTTTAAGCAGTCCACTGATGCAGAGATAAAATCCTCTGGTAGGGACTGGAGAAGAAAGGAAGATAAAACAGAAGGCTTCTCTCTCCTTACCACCTCAAAGAAGAGAGATTTTAAGAAGGGAACTATTCAACAGAAGAGTAGGATGAGGCTGGAAAATGGGTGGAAGATACCTTCTCTCTCACAAAGATGGATGGATGCAGAAGACACACAGGACCTTTGAGCAGGCAGTGTTAGCAGCTGGCAGCCTATATAAACGAGGAGGAGCAAAGCAAGAGTGGCCTGCAGGTACTGCTAATGAACCAAGGTGAACCTCCAAGCAACTCCAGACAGTGACCTCCAAAGCTCAGGTCATTGCAGGAAGCGACTCAAAGATTCAAGAGGCTCAAAGGTTCAAGTGACTCAGAGGTTTGGCACACTGCAGATATCTTAACTGCAGTCAGAAAAGCAAACCCCACTGGGTGCTGGTACATTTTGATCACAACTGATTATGCCACATGGTGTTTAAAGCATGTAGTCAATGAAGGCTCTACAGCTATGACAGAACAGTTAAACCTTTTGGCTGGATGATGCAGCCATCTGAGAGACTGACTGAGGGACAAAGTGTCGTGTTCCAACTAGCAAAAACTCCAAGGGACCTAAGCAAAACAGAAACACAGCAAACGTTCTTATATTGATCATAAGCCAATAAATTGGTAGAGGAGTTCAGTCAGGTCTTAAAAGCAAAGCTAAGGAAATCTGTAGTCTCTTGTCTGAGGCATGAGCTGTTGTGCTCCTAAGACATCTGAGGAGCAGAATTCGGGTCTTATATGTGCACTCATGAAAGCCATATCTTGTGTTCTTAAACCTAGAACATTAAAAATAAAGCAGAATAGAAATCTAAAGCAATTTTACTTGCTTACCTTTCCTTTTTTAATAAATGTGTTGATAGTGTCTAACAGATCTGCACAATTTTTATCACTTTTTGGTAGTTCAGTAAGTTCCTTGCCAATAAGCTCTCCCTTTTGATACCCCATCATCCGTTCAAAGGCTGGATTAACATACTGCCAAAACAAAAATGCTTTAGGATAATATGAAAAAGAACATACTTAAAGGATAATTACTCACATATAACTATGAAAGTTTTACAAGTTTTACATCTAAAGCCATAACCACACAGCCCTACAACTCAGTGTTTTTCATATAAAAATATTATGTAATAGTGAAACATTTCATTCAAGTAAGAAGCTGAACACAGAAGGTGATATGTAAGCTGCTATCAGAAGGCAAAGAAACAGAACAAAGTTCTTTCTGTACAGGATATCTAGTTCTGCTACAGATTTCATGCTGGTTTTACTACAGACAACATTACCATCTGAATTATAATCATTATAAGCAAAACTATCATCTAAACAATGAAAAGTCTTAAAAATTCAACAGGCATCAATGTGTAGCATCCAGAAATAAGGCAGTTCATTGCACAGGGATTTCTAATGGGCAACAAAATTAAAATACTGAACAGGAACTACTGAGCAAAGATCTATTTGGGATTCCTCTCTCCAACTTTTACAAAATAGTTAACTTTTTTCTCCCTACCTGAATGACTTGATCTTCACTGGTTATTTCTATAGCTTCCTGACAATGCTCTAATGCTGTAAACACTGCATTACAAGCCCTGAAATTAGCAAATGATTGACATTAGTTTTATTGTTACAACATTTTGCTCACTATAAATCATTATTATATTGTACTGATCAGTGAATCACAAAGTAGCAGGTTGTTTTGACTAAACCATGTCACTATCTCCATTAGGATTTTTTTTCAGGAAATTCAGCTTCAGATATCCCTGTTGTTGACATGTTTTTACTGCAGATCACATAGTAAAATTGCTCATGGGCACTGCAACATCTTAATAGTATATTTCTTTCTCCAAACATGCTCTAGCAGGAACTAACAATTAGCAGTAAAAATAACAAATGGCTGTTAGATCAGAATATGAAGTTTTGTAAACATTAAAGACAGGGAACACAAAAACCACCACAGCAGATGTATACAAAGTTTTCAATACAGCAAATAGATTTGAACTATCAAAGAAGTTGTAATACAGCATAATTAAAGGAAGTGATTTAATCCATCTCAAAGTTCTAGTCAGAAAAATATAAATTTTCCTGCTTCCAAGTAATAACTCAGTGGCTTGATTTCCATACATCCTGATCTTTATCAAGGGCCAAAATGATCTTCATTTCCAATTTTTTTTCAGGGCTATCCCTGAACTAATGCAGGAAAACAAAAGCCTTACTTCCTTGCTACAAGGATTAGATTGCGTAAATTTTAATTTACACAGGATGGGATTAATGTTAATGTAGGCTCCTAATACTAGAAAGAAAAAAAGTACAAATATATATACATAGAGAGAGTGCACATTAAAAGAAACAACACAGGCATACTTGCTTTGATAGATGTCAGTACTTCATCTTGATTTGGACTAAACACAAACTAATTATCTTCTATGTACTTCTCATTTCAAGGATCACGAATGTACCATGAATAAACATCTTGTATACAGTTATTTCCTAAAAGGAACATCTTGCTCCCAGATTGCATAGTAGGGTATGAATTAACACTGATGACTAGAGAATTAAGAAATACAGGACATTGCTCGTTTTGCTCATCATGGAAGTAACTCAAAAACAAATAGGATACACAAAGAAATATACACAGAGCCATAGACAAGCAACCACGCAGATGAAGATGTATAGGAAAAAGTGTTGCATAGAGAAGACAACAGAAGTATTATAATTTATACAATAAGCAGAGCTCACAATATAATTTTACAAGTGATTTTCTAGCAGTGCAAGCCAGCTTCAAAGTGTGATTTTTTGCTACGTGAAACAACTAATTTATCTCAGTGATAGATGCCCGTCTGGTACGCCAGCTGCTAACAAATATCATTATGTAAACTTTCTGCAAAAAACCCACATGTCTATGTTTGCACTACTCAAATTTTAGTATTTTCATTTGATCTGGCAACGAAGCCAGCAAAATTACAAGTTTAAATGGCCCATATTCTCTTTGATTAATACACACCTCCCACACATGTCCAACCAAACTTCAAACCAGAAGAAGCTATGCAGAAAAACGGAATCTCTGCTTGGAACGGAAAGACACTTCTGACCAGTGACATGACTTTATATACTGCTTTCTTGGGTTGGTCCTACCTTTTCAGCATGTTTCTCTTGTATCTGAACACCATAAATATACTGGTTTTAATCCCATCAATTATCTTTCTGAAATTACTCTCTCTTTCCTTTAACTTTTACAAAGCTGTACAGAAGACCTACTGAGATAGCAAACAGATCAGAGACCCAGTGGGATCGACATATATTGCAAAACTTTTTTCCCCACTTGATTAAACCACATGGATGAAAACAAATTATAACCAAATAGCATTACCAAATGCTAGTTCTGCTTAGTTTTTAATGGCAAATTCATTTAGAGCACCTGGCTAGTCAGGCAGAGATAGGGGTAAATCCTCTGATGCAAGACATCAGCTTCTCCAAGTTACAAATAGGCTTTTTCAGAAAGTTTATTTTTAAAAAGGCTACATTGTGCCCCCAGGTATTAGTACAAATGTTGCTCATAAGGATTACTTGTGCTTGTTACGTGATGAAGAGTATTTAACTATTTAGCTATCCTGTGCCTGCATCTATTAAACTCTTTAGTGGCAGTAGCAAATCCAAAAATATCACTACTTTTTTTTTTTTTTTTTCCATTGTATTTTCCAATGCTGCCAAAGGTTCCCAAATCAGTCATGTTCAGAGGTGATGTGAATGCTCACACACATAATTGTATATACTGTGTATTATCAATATACAAAAGACATGATAACACAGAATACATTTTATATAATGCTGTTATTAACATAAATTAAAAGGAAGTAGGTTCACAGTTTATGTAACTACATTCAAGAGAGGTAAAGCAAGCAGAATTACAAGTGGGTGGTATACCGCTGTTTCCATAAACAATATGGATGAAGGAACTGTCAGTAGATGAAATGCTGCTGGGGACTGACATTGTTTCCTTCCAATTTTAATGAATTTTAAGACTTTTTTTTTTTTTTTTTTTGTGATCAATATAAATAAGCTTGCAGAAAAATATGGTAGCCAATATGAATCATGCTTGCTGTGTTGGAGTTTTAATTATCTGTACTCATAATTGATACTACTCATGTAAAGATGCTCAAACTGTATTTGCATCTTGTTCTAGAAATGAAACATAAACTACAAGCATTGTGTGTATGAATGACAGCTTAATATTTCTATATAAAACTGATGTTTCTGATCTATGCTGACTTAATTCAGAAGTCACTCATTTCATGTTGTGTTTACAACTGAACAACAAACTAAGTCAGGACCACCATAACACCTAATTAACTTTGAAAATTTCATAGCTGCTTTATTTTCCTGCCAAGTTTTGGAATACACCTATTAAAAATTTTAAGCCCAAATTCTATTTTTTTTCACTGAAAATTTTACTGCAATTGCATTCTGCGTGCACCAACATGTAGTCACTTAAAAAATGAAGTCAATTTGGGATCAGTTTGCAAAGAAAATCTTAGAAAATCTAATTCTTAGACAGAGGCACCTAAAATCTGTAGAGAAGTTATAGCATTTTCTGTAGGTGGAGCTGAAACTAATTCATGACACTCAGGGAACTACACTTTCTCTGTATGACACTGGACTTCAAGGGCTTTTTTTCCCCTATACCTGAATTGCAAAGGTATTTACATGCGTGTATAAGCACCTGTATTAAATATAAAATTAGTCATATTAAAAAAGAAGTGATAAGGGAATGAAAGTAATTTAATTTCTCACCAAGATAAAAAACTGTGCTCCTGGTCTGCCCAGTCTTGCCCAAGCAAGAAAATAAAAACTTAAGGTATGAAAAGACAGATCAAGATTGTGTTCAGCTCAAGCTATCAGATATGAAATCTCACACACACTGGATCAGGAATGACTTCATGAAGTTCTACCATCATATGAATCTGCAGCCCATAAACCTTACACACAAGACAGCATTGTTAAAATGCTACCCTTGCAGTTAAACAAGCTGAAGTCGTCGTCGTATGATATTTCTGCTAAAGGATCTTGCCTTGACTGTAATGCTGGTTGTAATGGCTGCTAGAACATTGTCAAATTCAGTACGGGCACTTCAAGACATATGAGACACAAGCAAGCATCAGAATAAAGGACATGAACTGCATTTTGCATTAAGGAAAGCCATCATTTAAACCACCAGTGAATGAAACATACATAGAGCAAGCTTTCTTAGGGTACCAGTTACTAACGCACTTAAATTTGTCCTTTAAAATTAACAGAAGGAAATAAGGATATAGTGTATTAGTTAACAGACAGATGCAAAGCAGATATATGCGTAGCTGGGAAGAAGCAGAAAGTAACCTGATACAATCATGTAGACCAAGAAGTTGATGTTTGGAGTTTCTTACACTTCTACATACCGTAATTTGAACTGAGATCGCACTTCCCCATGTTCTATTTGAACCAGTTCATTGTAACAAGCAGTTATGCTGCTATTCTCCATGAATTGCTGGAAGACAAATCAAGAGTGCATGAAATAGATTGGAATGGTTTTAAACTGTTATTTCTCTTCCTACATCTAAAACTCTATCTTTATAAAGAAAGCTGGTGCGAGTCCAGCAAAGGGCCACAAAGGTGATTAAGCATCATTCCTGTGAGGGAAGACGGAGAGAACTGGGACTGCTCAGCCTGGAGAAGAGAAGGCTCAGGGGGGGATCTCATCAAGGTATAGAAATATCTGAAGAGAGACTGTAAGAAGACAGAGCCAGCCTCTTTCCAGCGGTGCCCAATGACAGGACCAGAGGTGATGGGCACAAACGGAAACACAAGAGGTTCCCTCTGAACATCAGGAACCACTTTTTTACTGTGAGGGTAACTGAGCACTGGCACAGGTTGCCCAAGGAGGCTGCAGATTTTCCATTTTTGGAGATCTTCAAAAGTTGTGTGGGCATGGTCCTGGGCAACCTGCTTTATGTGGCCCTGCTTGAGCAGGGAGGTTGGGCAAGATGACCTCCAGAAGTTCCTTCCAACCTCAACCATCCTGTGTTTCTGTAGAAATAAAAAGCTTTAGTTTTACCTTTTGCATTCAGCAATCATCTTTTCCCAAGGAATGATTTTCTAGTTCTTAAGACAACATGGCTATCTAAATACAAAACAAGTATAAATATATGCTAAAACCTCAACTGTGCATTTTCCCATTTGGTTTTGGCAACCCAATTAGATACAGATAATCTAGAAAAAAACAAACACAGTCTCACACAAAACCAGTGTTGTCTTGATGTATCATTTTGAACATCTGTCCTTAATTCAGAATGGAAATTAAATACCTTGGAGACATAAAACATACATGTTAAAAAAAGAAGAAAAAAAAATCATATTTGGCATTTCATTTGTTTTCAAGCAAATATTGCAGCTGAAGCTTAGAAGGTGAAGTAACTTTGCTCTACTAGTTATCTCACTAAGATGTCACTGTGAATTCAGAAGTGCAGAATAGTATATAAAGTAAGGAGCATGATGACAACAGGTAACAATCTTTTATTTACTCCACATAGAAGAGAATGTCCTCTCTTTGTTAGGGAAAGGTAGTAGGCTGAAAGGTCTTGTGCTTGGTCCTGCTGAAATCAGAAAATGTATGTTGATGCAAAAGTAGATTCTTTGACTTCAGTTAAAGTTTACTGCTCATTAGTAAACTTCTGCTATGAAGAGCTAAATCACCCCTTTAGAAATATATGCAATGACTCTAGTTTTCACAGAAAATGCCCTGTGTTGTCACTAGTTCTTACAGCGCAGCCACACGCAGAGTCAAGAGGCAGCACTCAAACCTCTGAAGAACAAAGCACGGGTTTTAAGAAACCTATGCTTCTTCCAGTATGAAAAACTGTGTTTTGGGAAGCCAGAGCTTAATCTCACATTGCCAGCAAAATGTAAAAAAAGTAAAATTAAAAATAACTGTTGATACGGGTCTGTTTCACTCCCGTCACACACATTAAGATCTTAAAATACTTCTGTGACTCTCACTTCACACACTAAGTGAATGCATGGGAAAACAAAAGGGACAACATCAAGTTGGCAGAAACAAAGGTGGTTTTGCATAACAAACTGCCTACAAACAAACTTGTCTTCTACAGCACTGTAAGATTTAGATTTTCAGTTTTAGGATGCTCTTTCAAATAGTCAAATATGCTCATGATAAATTTAAAACAACATAAAACCCAATATATAAATAATATACAATTGAAAAATGATGGCAACTTATTTTACAAATGAAACTTACTAGAACATATTAAAGCTCTTTTTGAACTGAATTTTAAAATAGTGCTGTTTATTGACAACATTTAGCCACTGCTGTTACCAACAAAAATCAACCACTATCTCAGCACAAATCTTTGGCTAAGAACCAAGAATTGCAGCTTGTTGAAGTGATAAAACTGCTCTAAACTGTTGTACAGTCTTCTGCAGATGAACAGAATGTCTTTATTTAAGTTTATAGTATTAATGCTATTCATCACTGGCTCACTCAAAGCTGAGAAATCAATCTGGACCTGAAAAAAGCAGAAAACATTTCCTTTTGATAATCTGTGCATCTAAATGAGGCACAAGAAGATGAAGATCTATTAACTCTCAAATATTAGAACATAGACAGCAATACTTTCTTTTAAAAAAGTTTAGTATTTATGCAGTACATTTTGATTTAACTAACATACGCTCTTAAATTACATTTTACTTCATTATAATTGGATTCCACTGTCATCCTATACAGAACTTGACACAAGCCACAAGAGTCATCAGCTAGAAAAAATGCATCATTCTTCTTGCTTAGGAAAAAGTACTAGGTTTAATATTACAGATTTATTTTGCTGCAAACCAGAAAGTTTTATTAATAGCTGGTCAATGAGAAACAACATTTCTTTATGAAAAGAAGTAAAGTTCAAAATACAAGACAAGACTATAATTGAGTAACAACAAAATATAAAGGTCCCCTGTTTGTTAATTGAAATAATAGTTAAAAATCAGTCAGGAAGCCAAATCACTTATATAAATTAGTCCATCCTAAGTAGGCCATCACTATTAGTTTTACGAGGCTGAGAAGAAAAGAAAAAGTCAGCATGATAAAAGTACTGCATTAACAACACCATTAATACACAAAAGATGTTAATGATACAGGGAAAAAAAATCAGAAGATGTAATAAAATTGGCTTTCATGAGAAGGAGAAGGAAAAAACAGAAATAACTCAACATTAAGAAAAATGCTGAAGGAATGTATAAAATTAACAGAAAAGACTCTTGAAATTTCTCTCTGTTCGTAAGATTTTTCAGTGATTATAGTGATCCAGATCTGGATAGTGATCAATCGTCACTGATTTAACTAAAAGAAATCAAAACTGATTTCTTTAGGACTACTTGCAATATATAGTATAGGTACACATAAACTTAGAATGATACTACTTTAATGTAAGTACACACGATGACTACAGAACATTTTAAAGCAAAATAATCAGCTATTCACTGCATGAAAAAAAAGTATGGTTATTTCCAAAATTATCCCCTCCAAAAGATTAAAGGAGTTCTTCAGAATCTTTAGGTCCAAACCTGATGTAAAAAGTCTGATTTTGTCTACAAAACTATATAAAAAGGTGAAAGATGAATTGGTTAGAAGCTCAGACTCTTTACTAATCAAGTTGAAGATGTATTTAGAAGACAGCCACCACCAGACGGAGTGATTGCATTCAGTGTTTTGTCAAGGGAAGAGGAAGAAGACAGTGAACAAAAATAGTACAAGTGCTAATATGATGAATAGTGATAACGCAAAATAAAGCTACCAGAAAGGTTAGACTAAAAATAAAAATAGGGAAGAGAAACTTATAATTTTAACAGATAAGTTTTTCCAAAAATAAATCTAATTTTTCTGCTGAGAAAGAGATTCCCTGCAGATACTGTCTCTCTCTATTTGAAGAAGGGTATTTTCAAATCCTTGGTGTGTGTGATTTTTTTGTGTTAATGGATTTAGTTCCTACTGATCCCCATCCAAGCAGAAATAAACCCTATGTCCATCCCACTGCAAAAATAGGATCTTTGACATCAGATGTGTTTTAAAAGCTTGAAAATAATTCCAATAGGGAATTACTATATTATGCAAGCTCTCTGATAAATTTGGAACAGCTAAAGGGAATGGTTAGAGTAGCTGTCAGGTGCAAAAGATTCTCCTTTCCTAAGCAGACAGTGTGCCACTGAGATGTGTCTCAGAGCTGCACAATGTCTCCTCTGGCTCTACTCAGTACTACACCTTCAGCTACAATCTAGACCACAAAACATACTGCCTTGCATTGTTTTTAAATGTAAAACCAGAGTTGAGAAGAAATAAAGATGTCTTTGAAAAAATATTAATTTTTTGTTTGGTTGGTTTGGTTTGGTTTTTGGTTTTGGGTTTTTTTTTTGAGAGAGAGAGAGATAAGGAGGAAACTACACTAAGCACTGGCATTCTTGGGCTGACCTTTCTCTTAGCCTCAACTTTTTCAATTTTCAGAGCATTTAAATGCTTCAGAAATGCTTTTGCCTTTAATGTTTTTGCCCCCACAGTGCACTTGCAGGAGAGGCAAGAGCTATTATCTCTGTCTGGAGATGATCTGAAAATGGTGACTCTGCTGCAAATTCTACTTTGTAAAGAAACTCAAGCTAAATATGAGTTATCTCAGGTACTATATTTGGTATGAGCATATTAGCATGAGATTCTGTGTGGATTAATTCCCTTCCTTCTCTGTTTTTCCTTACTACAATTAATTGTCCTAACTATATATAGTTAATTTTCCCTAACTACAGTGTCCACTGATGTGCTCCTATCACTTCAATATAGAACCTTACTTATGAACAACTAACTTTAATATTACAGCTGATTTATATTACCTTAACATAACATTAATATCCTCCCAAAGCCATTCACACAAAGGCTGGAAGAGGGTAAGCAAATGAACCTAGATTTTCAAGCTGAGAAATCCTGCCTTTCTGCTCTCTCTTATAAAGCTGTTTTAAGGTACAGTATGAAGTTATCTTCCCTTTTGCTACCTGTACAGGAAAGTCTCTAATGCTGTCCTGAGAAAAACAGGTGCAAAGCAGCACAACAGACCTCATGAAGGAAAAAACCTGAATTCTTCACATCAGGAGGAGCTGGACTAGGTTTGTAGTTCCTTTAGAAGAGAAACCCCAGCAGTCTGAGGCACACAGAGATACCCAGGTGTCTAATCAGCATGCTGCAATACACAGCACACATTAACCAGGGTGCCCCATCATTGTTTTTTTAGTGTACACATAAACAAAACCCACCTACCACCCACCCAGACCGCAAGAAATTAACCACAGTATTCTTGCTTATTCTGGAAGGATTAGCTAGATCACAGATTCTCTCATTTCATACGCTTCTTGGATACACTGTTGAAGAGAAAAGAATACCCATCAACTGCCACTGGTTTCTCATCAATAAATTTTTCACAGAACCAAATGTATAGTTTTCAATTTGAGGAAGTAGAAGTGTCTGCAGTTTATGAAGCAGTCATGGTACTATATTAAGTATGTTGTTTGTACATACCCTATCAAAGCCTGCATTAAGAAGGGGAAGAACAGAAGTCTCTTCTTGGTCAGTAGATCTACAAAACAAAATCATAGAATTGGTTAGGTTGGAAAAGACCGTTAAGATCATTGAGTCCAACTGTTAACATAACACTGCCAAGTCCACCACTAAACCATGTCCCTAAGCCCCACATCTACACATCCTTGAAATACCTCCAGGGACGGTGACTCAACCAATTCACTGGGCAGCTTGTTCCAGTACTTGACAACTCTGTCAGTGAAGAAATTTTTCCTAATATCAAACCTAAACCTCCCCTGGTGCAACTTGAGGCTGTTTCCTCTTGTTCTAGCACTTGTTACTTGGGAGAAGAGACCAAAAGCCACTTTGCTACAATCTCCTCTCAGGTACTTATAGAGAGTGATAAGGTCTCCTCTCAGCCTCCTTTTCTACAGACTAAACAACCCCAGTTCCCTCATCTGCTCCTCTAACACTTGTGCTCTAGACCCTTCATCAGCTTTGTTGTTCTTCTTTGGACACTGTCCAGCACCTCAGTGTCTTTCTTGTAGTGAGGGGCTCAAAACTGAACACAGGATTCAAGGTGGGGCCTCACCAGTGCCAAGTACAGGAGGACAGTCACTTCCCCAGTTGTGCTGGCCACAGTATTTCTGATATAAGACAGGATGCTCTTGGCCTTCTTGGCCACCCAGGCATGCTGCTGGCTCATATTCATCTGGCTGTTGACCAACACCCCCAGGTCCTTTTCTGCTGGGCAGCTTTCCAGCCACTCTTCCCCAAGCCTGTAGTGTTGCATGGGATTGTTGTGACCCAAATGCAGGACCCGGCACTCAGACTTGTTGATCTTCACACAATTGCCCTTGGCCTATCAATACAGGCTGCCCAGATCCCTCTGTAGAGCCTTCTTAACCTCAAGCACATCAACACTCCCATCCAACTTAGTGGTGTCTGCAAACTTACTGAGGCTTCATTCAATCCCCTCAACTTGATCACCGATAAAGATATTAAACAGAATTGGCATGTTGTATGGTCACACAATATTTAAGAATTATATGGTATCAGTTTGACATTGTTACCTGAATATAATGAATGCAGTGAGAACACTCTTGCATAAAGTATATACATAAAATCATACTATTATGGAAATTGATGCTATAGTCTTCTTTTATAGGTGTTTTCAGCTATTACTAAAACCTGACAGTTATTCCTACAGCAAACCTGACAAGCACCCTACAGAATTCCTGTGTCTCCTCACAGACACACAAGGGCATTACAAAAAGAAAGCATTAAGAGGACAAAAGACATCCCATGATATCCTAAGGGAAAGAATCTGAAAGAAGTGTTATTAAGTAAAAGGTGAAACAATTTGTACAGTCTTGCTCAGCAGCAAACTTAGTCTATTTTCTACTCTTGGCAGGAATAGTTCTGACACTCTATTTCTTAATATTAGAATTGAGTTAAGAAATTAATAACATGAGAATGGATTCAGTAGTATGCAAGAATTTTAACAAAGAGAGAAAAGGTCTTTTTTCTTTGAAAGTTTCTGATAAAAAATTGTTTAAATCAATAAGAATTCTGCCTGAATACATGGGGCATGAACTACTGAAAAAGGGTTTCAGGACAACATTCTGGTGAGTTTAGTACCAACAGGATTGAAGTTTACTCCATTACCCAGTTCCTTCATAACCACAGTGTGTTATTTGATCTAGTTATTTCCTTTAGAAACTAATAAACAGCTTTCTATTTTTTTTCTTTTAGAAACCAGCCGTGTAGCTTTCTAATTTTTTTTGTAGTATACAAGCCATTACATTATGATCCTCTGAAGGTGGCAGGGATAGTACTACTCTGTGTAAAAGGAAGATCATCAAATACTTAAATAAGACACATAAAATGTCCTTAACCCATTTCAGGTAAAATAATATTAAACTTACTCTGTAAGGCTTGTTAGTAAGATACTTTCTGTTATTAGATAGCTATTATACATAACATTCTTGTAACATAAAATAAAAATCTTTCACAAAACAGTAATACTTACGTGCGTGGAACCACAGCAAGTATTACAGTGTGCTCTGATGGCTTTGTGGCACGAATAGATCTGAGGAAACAAAAATTTCTCAGTTACACCACATACAGTCTCAGTGTTACTCTGAGTATCTTCACAGAAAATATAAATGGAACCTAGGACTGAAAGACATCATTGAGACTAGAAAATAGGATATCACACTGCCAAAACCTACCTATCCTCACTTAGACCATCCATTTCCATTTTGCTACCAGATTCCTCAGGTTTTGCTCAATGTAGTGAAGAGGCAAGAGCTTTGAAAACTGGGAATGAACAACAGCTCTCCAAATTCACTCTTATAGCCTAACAAAGGCTTGCCCTGTTTACTTAGTTTATTTGGGGCAAACTGCCCTGAATGCATGGACTGAGAAAGGTCAGTCTATACAATAAATTTTCAACACCCATTATCTAATTTAAACAAGAATCTCCACCACCTTCTATATTTACCATTATCCTTCTAGATACTGTAAAATTTTCTTTATAGGGCGGGAAGTTCTTTTGGGGAATGCAAGTAAGAAAAGAGGGTAAAGAAAATCTATAGGATAGACTATAATTTATGAAATGCTGAATAAACAAAATTTTACTATTTTCTGTATTATTGAGAAACTGAAAAAAAACATGACCAACTATGGGAACACTTCCTCTTTCACTGGCTAAAGATAACCTTTTTCAAACATGTCACACTGTCTTGAATAAACAGTCTTTACATTAATTTGTTAGTCTTTTAGAACTTCCATCAGCACAAGTATTTGAGCTTTAAAATGCTCCTTGTCATAAACATGGCAAATTACAGCTCACCAGGGACTGAGAAACACAGCATGGTATATGGTACAAAATGTATTCTTCAGCTGAAACAGTGTATTTTAGCAAAGAGACCCAGTACTAAGTTCTTGCAGTCTTAAAGCTGCTAAGACAGAATCATGTGGACCAGAAGAGTGATGTGAACTTTTGTGAAGGGGTGGCAGTACCTGACCCAGTGGGTGCAGCAGTAACCCTGGAAAGAAGCAGGCACAGACAGCAGGGTCTAATTTCACAACACCTCTGGCTTATGGTCTGATAGAAGCCCATGACCTAAAGAAACTATTCTACAATTCAGCCTCACCAAAAGTGTATTTTTCATATTGCATTCTTCCTACACATGTATGCAAATCTCCTGGCCTCAGTCCTCGAACTTCCATTTTACTATTGCTTTGGGATTAATTTTTTTGTTAGCTTGTGTTTTGGAGTTTTTTCCCTATTTTTTTATTTTTAAGATTAGGAGGTTTGGTTTTGTACAATATTTCCCAAGGTTCAAGAGAAGCATATGGTCCTTTAGGTTACCTGCAGATATCTTCTGCATCAAAGTATCTGGAGTTTCTGTGATCTATAACAATTATTTCCTGGTGCTTGTCAAGAAAACATTCAAGCGCTGACTCTGGAGTCCGGGCAATATTACACCTGTATCCAGCTCTATCACAAGCCCACCAGAAACCATCACTTTGGTTGTCTTCTTTTGCAAAGATCAGCAAAACCTGCAAAGCATGGAAAAACAGTGCTACCACATTAAATATACAAAACAGGTCTCTGCATGGTGCAAATCTTAAACGCTTCTGCTAGAAGAAAGATTGAGTCTACTCTGAAAGTGGAAAGATTGAACTACAGTCTAAAACAGCTGATGCAGTAGCACAACTTTCATAATAGATTGATTACCAATAGATAATCAATAGTTAACTGCATAAGACTGATCTTCAGGATAAAATAAGCTGCCAGGTGATGAGTCTCTTCTATCTCATGGTCAAATTCAATCAGCAGCCAACCAGAGTAGGCGGGTGGGTGTTCAAACATCACTGCCACTCTCATCAGGCCCCACCATGGGAGGGATTCATGTCAGAGAGGGTTTATAGAGGACTGTCTCCTGTGAGAGGGGAACCACGATGGAGCAGGGGAAGGAAGTTCCAGAAGCTCTGTCCGCCAGAGATGGAAGAAGCGGCAGCACTGACTGCACCCCCCATTCCCTACCCCCTGCCGTCGCTAGGAGGAGGACGTAGAGATATCGGGAGCAGAGCTGAGCCTGGGAAGAAGGCAGCAGTGGGGGGGAAAGGTGAAGGTATTCTCAAGATGTGGCAATACTTCCCACTGTTGTTATTTAATTGTTGTTAGTGTCTGTAATAAAGATATGTTCTTTTTGTTCTTCTCCTAATGAGTCTGCCTTTTGCCTGTGACCATAATGGGTGATTTGCCCATCCCTGTCCTATCTCAAATCCCAAGTCTGGATTATTTTTCCCTTCTCATTGCTGGGAGGGAAGTGAGGAGTGAGCGGCTGTGTGGTGCTCCGTTGCCCTCTAAGCTCAAACCATGACACCAGCTACACACATTTTTAATTGCAACGAACTATCTGAAATGCAAATGCCTTAACTATTGCTCTTCAGGGACAAACAACATAACACAGTTTTATTAATTATTTATCTCTTGATGTACTACAAAATAGGGTTAACCCATATACTTTCAAAGCTGAAAAGAACAGGACAAGCAGGTATGGACAGGGTTGGGAAAGGGAAGAACCCTGATTCAAATATCACAATTTTAACCCATTAAATTGCCCCTAATTACGTAAATATATGAGGCAGTTCCAACAACTTCAACTGAACACTTAAGGAACTGCTCACACAAGATCAGGTAGGATGTGTGTTGAGATAGTGTTCTGTAGGAAGTCTGTTTACTAACTGACACACAGACTATAAGCTGAAAACAGCTGGATTTGTGTACTTCTTCTGTGAAAGTAAAAATGTCTTTAGAAGAGAACAAATTTTTCATAGTTGTCCTATCATAAAAATTACACAAGTAATGGAGACAATCCCCTTCACAGTTTGCCCATTTTTACCATAGCAACTGATCACTAACCATGCCACCCTGTGTGACAGCTGAAGAAAAAGGTTAATTTAGTACAAGTATGCTGTGAAGAAGAAAGGCCTCAAAGTCAAAAATTTATCCGCAGCTATTCAAATTGCATAGAAAGGCAACAGCCAGAGAATAACCTATATATAAAGCAAAATCCTGTTCATTTCACAAATGAAAGTCATCCCCTGACTTTATTAAAACAACCTGGCTGGGCAAAACATGCAAAATTTTGCCCCAAATGCCCATAAGACAGATCAATAACATTTCATCTGTGCTGCTCTATGTGGCTCTAGTGTTACCACATGAAATTCAACATCATCAGTCTAGAAGTTAAAAAGGTGATCATAACTCTTCTCTTATCTTGAGCTGTCTGGATTGTTGAATTCTAAACAATAGACAAATCAATTAATGTTACTGTGGCAGGACAATCAATCAAGGTTTCATTAAACAATAGAAGAAAACTATATGCTTGGAATTTCCATAAATATTAAGAAATAAGAAGTTTCAATTTATTAAAATGAGTATTTTTTAATTGCAGTTAACAATAAGTAGATTTGGATTACTGACACTTAACATCCAAAGTAACTGTTGTCACTCTACCTAATCGCTGATTTTTATTTAGCCATCAAAGTGTTGGAAAGCAGTGGCATGTCTGAGCTGCAGACTTTGAGGATTCTTGGGTAAAATCCCTACTCTGATACAGTCTTCTGTTTGGTTCCACTGCTGTTAGTTTTATTTTCTTCCTAGTTTGATAGATACAATATGGTTCAGAAAATGTTTTTTTTGGGGGGCACATTTTTTGATATCTTGCTTCTCTCAACATTCCCAGTTTGGAAATAAAGGATTGTAAAATGCAATCATTTACCAGCTGCAAAATAACGGATCTTAATTAAACCACTTGATGTCCCACTAGTAGCTAATTATCAGTGTGTGAATCCTTCTGAGAATATTAACTTTAAATGGTTTATCAAGTTATTGCTACCATGCTTTCTCATTAACATTTGTATGAAGCTTAATATAAAGCATGAAAATATAATGTAAGTAGAAGTATATTGCAAAATATGCTCTAAAAGTCAAGATAAAAATATAATAATCCATATAAACAACACGGTCAAGGGAAATCTTAAATTCAATCTGTGTTTCTTGGCAAAAAAAAACATGTAGCTATTTTTTGGTCTATACTTTCCAGAGTTACTGTAAAAAGATCATTTTACTTGTGCTGCCCTGGTTTAGGATCACTGTGGACTTCTGTGGAGACCTTTGCATTTTTTGGTGACGTATTGGAAACATTATCATCTTTTTAAGTATTTGCTTTGTACAACTATTGCATGTCTTGTTCACAGTTTATCATACAAATACAGAAAATGGACAGAGATTTGGTTTAAGGAACTTGAAATAAAGCAGGAGACACCAGCTGAGTACAGACACATAGGGTATCACAACAAACTGAGAAAATTAAAACAGCAACTTAAGAAATAAAAATAAAGTTACTTAATTATTTTTATGTTATTGTATCCCAGCAACAGAGTTTTAAGGTGGAAAACATAGTGGCTCTAAATTAAGTTAGGGAGTAGCTCTTGTTACACTGAAAATTGGCTGGGGGAACAGTAAAATGCTGTCCATCCTCATGCTTCATTTGCAGCTCAACAGGGAATATCACCATCATCAGAACAGAAATGGAGTTTGATGTCAATGCTGTGAAAGAGATGATGGCCAGTGAATGTTCTAAGAGGTGAGAAACCGCAGTATTTGAATGGAGGACACATCCAAACCTTTATTAGCTCTGGTAAACACTTCTGAAAAAGGTAAGACAGCCTTTCTATGTGCACTAAATGTTTATAAAAAACACCTTTCTCCTGTGTCCTCTGGAGAAAGGGCATTTACATGTACTTTTATCATGGTCATTTCTAAGGTCTCAGAACCAAATCATGCCTATTTTGCAAGTCTTGGTACAAAATCGGGGCAGTTGTGCAAGTTGCATGTGGGGAGGGTGTTTGGAGGGTCGGAGATGGTAGGCTTGCTTTGGATTCTTCCCCTTTCCTCTTACTGCCAGCAGCACCTGGGTCATGATCTAGTACAAGTCAAACCAGATTTGTCCTCCGACATAGCTAGTCATAAAGTCCAGTGAGAAATCTATTAAATGGCTTGTGGCAGGTCATAGTCACAAGTAAGGTCACTTCTCAGACAAAAAATATGGGCAATTTCAGGGTTGGTACAAGTGTCTCATAACAGCATAAAACACACACCAGAATAAAAAGAACATAGCTAAGAAAAGCCCTGGTGGCAATTGTTTTAACAAAATAAATTGTCTTATCAGACAATTGTGAACATGATTAAGCACTCACAAATAGACATTTTAAATGTGATATTCAGTAGCTGTTTGAACTGCACAGAGAAACACGTAACTCCATTGTCAAGATGGAATAAAAGACTAACACATTATTTAAATGTGTGGTTGTGTGCAATACTTGCCAAATCAGCTGAGGTAATGAGGCTTGTTCCACAAACAAAGGAGGTGGGATTACATAAATCCCTTTACTGTAAATAAGTTAGTGTATCACAATGACTTTATGGAAAATTCTTCAGTTAATGGTTTTACTTAAGGTCTACTTTCTGCTTTACTTAAGGTTTTCTGTGGTAGCACCACATATTCTTCCTTCTGTAAAGTAGGGACAAAATAACATCCACAACTAATACAGAGAAGGATGTCAAACATTTTAAAAACAGTAAAAAATACACTATCCCTTCTTACATAAAAAATCTTCACTTGTAGCAGCTAACACTGGTACTACAATATTTTGACAAATCCAATTTCTACAAAGTAAAATTCTGACATAAGCACTGAGAGTATTTGTATTTGTTAAATATCTACTTGACCACCTTTGTGAAGATGATCACAGTCTAAAGAACATTTTTATGCTACGAGTTTCACACTTTCATGATGAATTCCTTTCAAAACCAAGGACTGCTCTACTGCTAAAGCCATTGTTTCACAGTTTTCTTATAAACAAATAGCTTCATCAGATCAAGTCATCATTAAGACTGAATGCTTAATACAGAAATAAAAATGTAAAGCTTTATGATGCATATACACATGATTTATTTTCCTTGAGAATAGCATTTTTTCCACATGTAGGTTTTTCCTCTCATAGCCAGATATGGGCAGGGAGTTGGGAACAAGAACAACCAAAAATGGTGACTGGTGAATAAATGTCACTGTATTTTACAGAGCTAAATTTAAAAAGTTAATTTAAATGGATGCTGTATCACTAGAGCAATGCTAAATACTAAGATTATTTAATTTCTTGTCATGTGAGAGCTCTATCAGGGACTATAAGCTAAAAAAATAATGCTTGGCAACTGTTTACTGTCCCAGGAACAAAATGTACAGAAACAGAAGCAAGTACAGGTGAGATCTGCTGCTCCTTAAGCTGAAGTTCAGCCTGCCTTGTTGGAAGTGCTGTGATTTCTTGGACTGGTGACCTGTAAAAGCACAGTTCTCTGTCCTGTTATGCAAAACTCAGCAAAACTCCACAGGTACCTAAACTTTCTAATGGAGCTTTCTGCTTTGGTATATAAGAACTGAATAGTTTTTAACATCCACAGAGTCAACTCTCTCCCCTGCTAATGCACATACACACACACTCCTATTGACAGGACATATAAAAGGAATGATTTGATGTTAATGGAAATCTAAACACCTTGTTTACCAAGCCAATTTACTTGTAGATCTCTTCTCAAGCAATCAGATAAACCAAAACACCGATTACCCACCTCACAGCCCTTGCACAAGTAAAATGAAAACATTATACTTAACTATAGGGGTTGAACCTTAATTTCTTCACTCATTAACACTGAATTGACTGTATCAAGAAGCTGAAAGAGCATCTTACCTGAATTGGATCTTGTGTCAGTCTCATGGGCCCAAATTGTACTTCTGTAGTTGAAGCCTGCTAAAGAAGGTCAATACAGATTTTTTTTTCAGTCTGGTTCTTGACAAAATAGTATTTTACATGCAAGAATGAAAGACCAAACAAAACCATGAAAGTCTCTCAAAGACAGGCAGACATATGACTAGCAGCCTTAATTTAGTTGAAGTGTATCTTTTATGAACATATTTTACCAAACTCCTAATTTCATTTGCCTCTAAGTTAAAAACTGTAGGGTTTTAAATAAGGAAACAAGAAACACCACTTCCTTTCCCCTCTTTCCTCAACAGAGTACCTTGGTTACACAGAAGGACTTGTATTTTGCCTAAAACTACAAAAAGCTCTTTTTTTTTCTGGACAAAAATTGCCTTATTCACTTGAATGTAATACAGAATTGTATTAAAGATCTTGTGACTTATATTCAATAATAATATTTTAATGAGTTTGGTTAGGGAAAAAGTAACTTTTCAGACAAGAGAACTTGTTTGGATTGCAGATTTAAAATTGTTTTCTAGAACCATAGCCTTTAGTTTTCATGAATAAACATTGCTACCATGTGAGCCATGACATTTTCAAAAGACGTGAGAGCACATCATACTTTAAATCTACTGCAGGAAAGCCAGCAGATGTTGCTTGTGCTTTGTTGCCATATTTCCTAGGTGTTAAATTGTCTCAATACTTTTTGTGTCTTGATACATACCAACACTCTTCTCCCGCACACTACTGATTTGTTTCACTTCACATTATTAGCTACCAAAGGTTGTCAAGCAACTGAACAATACCTATGTCCTCCCACAGATGCATATACTTAAGGAAAATAGTCTTTGAGCCCTTACAATATTGTTCCCTTCATGCATATAGAGGATTATTTGCAAGTTAGCAATCTCCAAAAGGGCAGATTCTCTGCTTTCCTGGTACCAATCACCCCCGGTGTCTGGTGTAGGCAAGCTAAGGCAACTGCTCTGCAAGACATGTAATTTGAGCAAAACCCTAATTGTGGGCAGATTCCTAGGACCATTCCTTGACAGACAGGAATCCTGGCGCCTTATTTCAGCAGCATTTTTCTCTGTGGTGCTTGTTAGTATGAGCTTTTTGTCCACGTATTACCTTATTCATAAATATAGTATTTTTCAAAGGAATGTATATAAATATTCAAAATGGATGAAGTTACCAGTATTCAACTTTTTTACTTAGAGAATACAATACCATGTTAAGTATTAACAGCCTTGCCTGCATGTGAGACAGTGGTATTATGTATAGCTACAACTGACACGTTGGACTTTCATGCACCACTGAGCATCGATTCTTCTCAGACCAACAATGTACGTCAGAAGGTGGTAACAGGCAGTACTCCAAAAGATTAAACTACAAAGCCTGCCACTGTTTTCCAAAGCAAAAACTGCCCCCAATATAAGTATAGTTAACCTCCCCTTTTCTCACACAAAAGCTTCGCTTGCCACTTGAGCTCCTGCCATAGCTGAATGTAACTTAATGCCAGTACACGTATCAGAATAGAAATGAAAGTTAGCACCCACCATCAACCATGAATTATGAGTAAGGTTACAGAAACAATTCTCTGAAAGCTTCCAACTCCTCTTCCCCTTCACCAGAAAAGAAAAACACTATATTCACACTCGAATGGTATTAAATTGGAAATCCTTAAATACATTTTTTATCATAGTCTCATTAGATGAATCTGTGAGAGTACACAACAGACTTGGGTCAGTATCAGTGCAAAAGCTGCTTTTTTCACAATGCAGAGCTCTGTCCCAGAATGTATTCATCAAGAGCCTGGGATTCTTCACAAAAGACAGTTAAGACACAGATATTTGTTTCATTATCCATTTATTAATGCTACTAGGGAACTGACATTGTAAATGAATGCCTTCCACTCTTTACCACTTCGGAGGACATCCAGCTTTAATTACTCTGTTTTGTCCAAGATGAAATAACTGTGTCGAAGACATAGATCAATGCAGGCAATTCTATTAATCCTTTCACAGAGATTCCTTTATAGGGTAGCCACTTCTCTTAGCCTGTGTATTTTAAAACAACAACAAAAAAATCCACACAACTGTGACTCAGAGTTTCTCTCCTTGCTACATCTGTGTCAACCTCATGAATAGAAAATTCCTGATTAGGAGTACTTAAAAATCAGGGTGTCTTTCTCTCTTTCCGCCTCCCAGTTTCAAGGTGTTCCTGCCTTCACTAACAGTAGGAAAGCTTAATAAGGCTTAGAAAATCTGAGAAACCCAGTGTAGGTGAATTTGTCCTTGTCCTTCTCTGTGCATACATGGTAGGGTCAGAACTACACAGGGGTGCCGAAAAGGTGTTACTATATTTGAAAGATTGCCATGTACAACCCTTCAGTCTCTAAGCTGCTTAACTTCATTATTTATACAATGCATGAAAACAGATGGAGCCCTCAAATTAAGACTGGTAATGAACATGAGCATAGGAAGGATTAATAAACCTTCTCATCAGATACAGAAAAAAGTATGTCTGAAACCCTCCTTCTTGGATTTGGAGTTCTGAGTTCTGTTTTATAAATCCAAGGGACTGGCTTGTATGTCCAAATTGCTCTGGGTACAAGTGACGGTCTCACTTTTCTCTTTCAAGACACAGCTAGAGAAGGCAGCAAGAATAATGACATGAGTGCCTGGCCTTCACAAATGACCTATGGATCTCTCCTTGGCCTGAAGGAACTAATTCCACATCAGAAGAACTAATTCCATATCTTCCCAACTCCCAGAAGAATCTGGCTATGTTGACATTTCATATTAGTGACATAATGACCATACCTCTGCTCATTTCCTGACTTATGTGAATATCTCATTGCTGATGATTTCAAATTTAAGTAAATCTCTCATTATTTGATTGAGTGTCAGGAAAGACTGCTAATAGATCTGCAACCGGAATCAATTAGTACAGTAACTCATGACAAACTTTTCTGGTAAAACATGTGGTGACAAGCCTGGTTCCAAAGAGGTCAGTGAGAAAAACCCCTATTTCAGCGAGCAGAGGAGCAGACACAGGGTTGGAAGCAAAGAAATCATAAACTAACCATCTAGGAATAACAAAAGCTTACAAACAGTGAATAAATTTTTGTTTTAACATTTTAAACTGTCAAATATTATTTCCACTACCATTCTAGCCTCCTAGGCAATCTCCACAGGAGTCAGCTATTAATCAAAGAATTAAAGACAAAGTCAATGGTACTTTCTTTAATTCATATGTTTTTATGTAAATCAGTGATCATCAATTACCTTACTATGAGAGCAGTACCATTAAGCAAAATGTATTTGCCACTTCATTAAAATGCCACCCTTTTAAACCACCAATACAAAAATCTTTATCCCCCATATGCCTGCAGACTTACAGCCCCTGCAGTTTATGAATCAGCATCAATAATTAGTAACATAGCTACTGTAAAATTAATGACTAATCAGTACAGCAAAACCTTCTTGAAAAATTCTTCATTGCTTCAGTGCAACAACAGCAACTAGAGCCAACCAAGTGGTGAAGTAAAGGTGTTGGTGAGTTCAGCCTCCTGGAAAGGCTCAGAATGGATATGCCAGTTGAGAAGCATTGCTCAGATGCCAAGGTCCCTATGGACACCCTTTTGCCCTAAAGGCTCCTTCCCCCTACCCGCTATATCCTCCTTCTGTTTAGTCACTCACACACTGATGCATGCCTTCTCTCACCTTTGTAGTACGTTTTCAGACAACTGTCCCTTTGGTTTTGCAAGCAGGTAACAGGACTCTCTTTTTGACCCAGCTCTCACTGCACTGATATGTTCCCCTGGCTCCATCTCCTCATCTTTGTTAGGCCTCATTTGTATTCTTCTCCAACTCAGCTTTCCCCATCTACACTGCTGTTGGTGGTTGACACCTCAGCCCATCCTTTTGCTGTTACCATTACCATATTTGATTATACCACTATTTTCAACCTCAAATGCCTTCCCTTTTTTCCTGGCCAAACTGCAGTCCTGAAAAAGATTACAGCCATTTATGACCTCTACACTGGTCTTAGCCTTGCTTGAATTCCCTTATGAGATACAGGGCCTGCCACTGTTCTCCAGCATCCCTGACACGGAGCTGGTGTCCTGCTCCTCTTCCTGCTACAACACAGCTGACCAGGGTGTCCAGGTCCCCTCTTCCACTGCTCTGCAATGTTACACCCCTCTCTTCTTCCTTTTCTTTGTCTCGTCTTTCTTAGCAGGACTATATCCCAGTCTTTCTCCTCCACTTTTACTTTTTTATCACTTCTAGTCAATTCATCTCCCATCCACTGGCATTTTTCTATAGTTTAACACTTGGTCACTCTCCCTCTGTTTGGAGTTTCTCCATGATTCTTTGCCAGCTTCAACTGTTACAGGGAATATCACTTGACCTGTCTAGCAATTTGTGTGTATTAAAGAAGGGACAGATTTACAGGAGAAAAATGAAGACTTCTTTTCATAATGATGCCAGCTCTGACTCCAGAAGCCCCTAAATGATAAGCTGGCAAAGGATAGAAGAATAAACAGGATGGATCAATACATGCTCCTCCTGCTTGAGACTTGGTCCTGAGCTAGATGGCTTTTGGCTTTAGCTCCATGGCTTTTCCAGACACCTTCCTTCCCTGATTCATTCATTTGACCACCTGCCTCTGTTTTCCCTCCCCACCCACCAGTACAGCTACTCTCCCAACTCCCTTTCAGGAAGCACCACTCTCTGCCACCTCTGTTGTCAAGTTCTGGTTTTTATTCTCCCCTTGGGGTGGTTTCCAGCAGACTTGTGTTTCTGCTTTCCCAGCGGCTCATACCCTGCAGTTCCCTGGCTCCCACTAGAAGGCTGCCACCGCACAAGCCGCTCCCCTCCTGCCAGCCAGCTGCCATGCTTTCAACGAGTCCAGAGGAGCATTAAATAGTTGGATAGTTCCAACTCCAGGGTTAAAGTAAGGCCATGCTATTTTATTAACTGAAAATTATGATCAAACACACATACGATTTAGAAGAAATAAGACTTCAGCATTGATGACTT